TCTAAAACTTCTTTTTTTTAGAGAAAATTCTGGATATAGAGGACTCTTTGTAGAAATAAACGATTGCTATTTTGTTAAAACTTTTGAATTTTATTAAAAACATGAAAACAATTTTGCATTTCAACTGATTTCTATAACTGCATCTGTTAAGATGACACCTACTCAAATACATAAACTTCCCAGTAAGCATAGATCGTTTTTAAAACGTTTAAAACACCTTAAAACCGTTTTAACAAGTCTTTTAAATATCTTTAAAACGTCTGTGCTGACTGGGTTGCAATGAAAATCTTTGTTATATGGGTGAAAGTTGATTGGATGTTCACAAAAATAATTGGCAATTGTTCACAAACATCAATAGTATACAGAAGTTGTTGCAAAGGTAATAATTTTGTATATAAAACCTAAGCCTCGTACCACATAAGACTGAATTAGTAGTATGTGAAATTTATATAAATTAATAGCTCGTGATATTTATATAAATTAATAGTATAAGAAATTTATATAGAATAAAAAAATAAAACATTGCATACAATATTGTATTTTAAATAATTTTTTGTTTTTCAAAAAATGTTTCATTGCGGCCGTGGCGCAGTGGTTAGACCGATTGATTTATAAACAAGAGATCCAGGGTTTGAAGCGAGCTCTGGACATATTTAGCGCTATTGGTAAGGAAGAAGCCGTGAACTTCCTATTTAAATGCTCTTCCGTGGTGTTCTGTGACAAAACTGTAAGGTCACCTAAAACAAATTTAATATAAGAATGACCTTTCATATTAAAGCCAATATTATGCCGTTTGATTTCTTGACTTACTGTTTTTTTCCCATGAGAATTTTTCAGACCTATTAATATTATTAATATGTAGAATAGAGGGTTCTTCCCGGGAATTCCCGGGAATTTTTTATATTTCATATTTCCCGTTACCTGGAAAAATTACCATAATTTCCCGGGAAAAAATTAAAATCAAAGAAATACTTGTGTATATATTTATTATATTAGGATAATAATTTATTCAAAATAAAAATATATTAATGTCTACAAAGCTATTTAATGTGTATAATCTTAAGTCTTAAGACTTAAGTCACCTAAATTATAGAAAAATGTAATCAAGTCATAATTTTTTTAATTAAACGTGATTCAAAGCAAACATAAAAGTCATTATTTCTAATACAAAACGTTAAATGCTCCCCAGTGGCTTATTGATTCAAAACAAACGCTTATATTTCAAAAACGTAACGCAAGTTACTCTTTAAAATTTGTAATTAAATTTATTATTCAAGAAACTTCGAATAACATTTAGTTCTCTACGTATTGACAAGTTAAGTAAGTTTCAAAATATTCTTTCTATTTTCTTTAACACCAAAACTAATTTCTTTGTTTTAATATTTTTAATTTTTTTTAATTTAGAATCGCCGAAACATTGTTTTAATCATGACAGATTCAGTGTGGAAATATTTTTCAAAAGAAAAAGCAGGTAAACAAGCCTAGTCTTTGAAATATCCAAATAATTTATTAAGTTGTAAGAGCTCGTCAACCAGTGGATTAATAAGATATTTGCAACTTGTTCATAACATTAATATCAAGAAAACAAAACTTAAATGACGATCAAATTGCTGGTTCAAGTAACTATGAGACAATTCCTGCAAAAGCAAATAAGTCTCTCGCATCGTTTTTTTCTAAGAAGCAGTCCTTAGCAGAGATAGTGGCTAGACTTGCGGCCGTTGATGGATTTTCAATTTACGGAATATGCAAAAATGAGTTTATTCGTCAAGCATTAAGTAAAAAACAATACCATCTTCCAAAAGGTAAAAACAATGTGATGAAAATAATTCGTGAATATTGTGCTACGGCAAAAAATGAACTTATTGTTAAAATAAAATCACATAAAGAAAAAGGTGGAAAATTTAGTCTAACGTTTGATGAATGGACAAGTCTACGCAATCGAAGATACTTGAATATCAATATTCATTTAAATAAGTTATTTATTAATCTAGGACTGGTTAAAATTCATGGAAACTGTACAGCTGAAGTAACAATTGACTTTGTTAAAGAGAAACTATCAGAGTTTGCAATTATCTCTTCAGATGTTGTTGCATCAACCACTGATGCTGCTGCAGTAATGATCAAATTTGGTAGATTATCTGGTTTTATACACCAATTATGTTATAACCACGGCATACACTTGGCTGTAATGGGAATTATTTATAAAAGAAATAAAAAATCTAATGTTCGTCGCATTAATTCTTTAGAAATTGAATCTAGATTTTCCAGTGATAACTCTAGCGAATCTGAAAATGATAATCTAAACGATTTTGAACCGCAAATATGTGAAAGAAAAGATATAAATGCGGCTTTACAAATGATTAGATAAATAGTCAAGTTTTTTAAACATTTGCTTAAAAGAAATTCCATTTTACAAGATTATGTAAAAGTAGAACACGGAATTGAACTCAATTTACTGCTAGATTGCCGAAACAGATGGAATAGCATTGTGACAATGGTTGAAAGATTTTTAAAAGTGATGGACGCAGTAAAAAAAGCATTAAATGAGTTGAACTTCCAAGAGCTATTTAACGATATTTATGTCTCAGTTTTAAAAAATGTTTCCACGCCCTTCAACCAATCAAAATAGCTGCAGAAGAATTAGGTAAATGTAATGCAAATTCGCTAACAGCTGATGCTATTTTAAATTTTTTGTTTGATTACCCGCATAACAACAATGATGCAATTTCAGAGGAAATGTTGCATTCAGCTGCTACTCCTGAGCTACCTTCATCTTCAAAATCTGCAATTATTCGTTACGCAAATGACTTATTTAATAGATTATTCAGCGAAGATATCGATAATCGAATTGAAAGTAGCTATAAATGAAGCATATAAACCTAAAAAGTGGGTTATAACTAAAAATTCTAACAAAGACCTCAAAAAAGAATTTCAATTACTGGAAATATTACAAATAATTTAAAAAAGCTGCTTAATGCTTTAACTTGCATACAGCCAACCTCAATAGAAAGCGAGAGAGTATTTTCATTGTCGTCTAATTTTTGCTCAAAACGAAGATTATCATTTAGTGACTTATCTCTAGACTGCCTCACAATTTTAAAAAATTATTTCCTAACTAAATAAGTTTAAAATATGTTTTGTTCAAGTAAAATTAATTTTTATCAACACATGTATTACAAATTTTAATTATGCATACTAGGGTGGAGCAATTTTTTATGCCAAAAAAAAAAAAATTCGAATCGATGTCTATTAAATTATATGAAAAAATTAAAAATATATTTTCCGATTTTAATGAGCTCTTGAGGTTCCTCTTTGGATTCTAAATTCTTGACAGGTCCTAATATTTTTGAATTTTTTTTTCTAAACTATATCAAACTTGGACTCAAAAAAAGTAGAAAAAAAATGTATGTTTTGTTAAATAATAATTTTATTAAATAAAAAATTTTTGCAAAAATATACCTAAATACGTCCTCGTTTTGTTAAAAACGGGTTTTTTTAAGAAAAAAATGACTATTTTTTATGTCTTTATTTTTAAAGAAAAACTATTATTTTCAAAATCAGCATATTATTCTGGTTCTTTTGAAAAAACTTCAACAATTTTTTTGACTACCCGTCAAGAATTTAAAATCCAAAAAGGTATCAAAATTTTTAAAAATCTTTTTACCCTTATGCATACATATACAATTTTCATATATACAATTTTGAAATAAAATAACATTTTAAGAATGAATGTCGTTTTCTTATCAAAAGTTAGTCGTGTTTATATATTTGTTTAAGAGAGGATTTATTTTCGGGAATCCGAGAAATTATTTTTAAATTTTCCGTTTCCCGGGATCAAAAAAAATGTCGGGAATTGACACCCTCTAATGTAGAATTAGGCAAAAATAATGAATTAATATAAAACGAACTTTTAAAATTCTATATATTAATTTAAATATATTTTAATAATATCTCATTTAAAAGGAGAATTTAATTTACTACAATGAAACTTTTTCTGCAATAAATTTATAAAAGGTCTCCTTAAAAGCTTCAAGGAAAGCTTGCGTGCTAAATTTATGAGCAGCTTTTTTTGAAGCTTGAAATACTGGTTAATGTAATTACTTAAACAAAAATGTGCCTAAGTAAATTTGTTTTAATTTCTCGTCTTATTTTATCAGGCTGTGTCTAGTTGTTTGATAATTAGAAGAAGAAATGTTTTTTTTTAAAGCTAAACTGACTGAAAAAATAATATATATGAAAAAAAGTAAATTTAATATTGCTGCGTGCTAAACTTTTGAGCACTATTGTATATTTGAATACTTAATATTATTAAATAAATAATTTATTTCTAATAAATAAAAGCAAAGAAACAATAATACTGGCCCATAGATATGCAGGCATAAATAATTATTGTGCTATTATGATTTTTTCCAAAATCTGATCAATCTGCATATGTACAATTAAAAAAAGTTTCATGCTTGCAAATATAATACTATAGTTTTAGTTAATATATGATATCAGAAAAGTGTCTTTAAACGTACTAGGTGACGGAGATAGTGAAGGTTACATATTATAGTTGTTAAAATGAATTTAGAGTAACAAATTAAATTTTTTGATGAAATTTTTATAAATGTTTACCACATTCATTCACTGTATGTGAATAAAATAGATTTTATTTATGTTATTAAAAATATAGCCTTGCTCCACGACAATATTATGGTTAAATTTTGAAATGTAAAAATTACACATTTTTTGTTTTTTGGTCGTATTTTAGGTTATTTTTTATTAACAAAGAAGTTAATTGGATTTTAATTAAAATATAATAGCGTTTTACTAAAAAATTATCGTTCATTTTCATATAAATGTTTTATGTAACTAATGAATTAGAAAACATAATAAATGTTTTTAAAATATAATAACTAGTATAAATAGTCACTTTATGTAACAATGTAACACAGAGGCAATTTATTTTCTACTTATCAAGTTTTTCATAAGGGTGTAAAAAATTATATTAAAAAAAGTTTTCTGCTTAAAATTTTTTTTTCTAAAAAAAGAAAATTACTAAAAAACAAAATTAACAATAGTTATAAAATTAAATCATATTTAGTGAAACATAAATTTACGTCTTATCATTAATTAACTCGTCCCAGTCTACTTGAGTACTATAAACTTCGCGATGTAACCATAAAGAACTGTCTTTTTTAAATCTACCACTGAAAATTACTTGCGTATTTAAAGCACTCTGGAGATCGTTATCTAGTGGTTGAAGATCGGTAGGATAATGTCCACTACTCGACTCATAATGACGATAGTTGAAAAGATCTACGTTATGCCGGATTGCACATTCCTCTGTTTGAAAATCCCATGGTCGAGCATCTACATCTATATATAAACACAATATATATATGTATATATATATACATATATATATATATATATATATATATATATATATATATATATATATATATATATATATATATATGTATATATATATACACATATATATATATATACATACAAACATATATGTATATATATATATATATATACACATATATATATACATACAAACATATATATATATATATATATATATATATATATATATATATATATATATATATATATATATATATATATATATATATATATATATATATATATATATATATATATATATATATATATATATATATATATGTATATATATATGTATATATCCGCGTAACTAGCATTGGCTACTATATTTGGATATTATTAATTTTAACACCAAATATTTATTGTTGAGATTACAAAAAACATGAGTAATACTCTTTATACTAAAATGAACCCAAAATCAGTTAAAATAAAAAATATATAAAATTTTAAACTTCTCCAGTAAGAAAAACGTACTGTAGATACGCGGTATTATCCAATGCTAGTTATGCGGTTTTGCACTATCCCCGACGATATATATATATATATATATATATATATATATATATATATATATATATATATATATATATATATATAATAATAATAAATAGGGTAGGTCGATTTTAATCCTGCATATTGCGTAATATTGCAGTAGAGACAGTTGAAATATGATTACACTCAAAATTTGAGAGAATTGGATGAAGAATCACTTTCGGATTTGTAGGATTATGCAAAAAAAAAAAAAAAAAACACCTTAAAAAGCGTTATACGCAAAAATTGACGTTTTAAATGTTCGTATTTAAATTTTTTTAAATATTATTTACATTGCTGAATGATTTGAATTTATAATAATTTATAACAATTAAGCTAAATTTTTAACAACTTATTAACTGTTTCAAGATTTAAATAGTGAAACTTTTATTTTTATATTTACATAAGAATATCAATTTTACAATTTAAAACATTTTGAACAGGGATATATATTTAAAAAAAAACTTTTTCAATTAAAAAATATCATCAGAAGCATGGGAATAATACCCTTTTGAAATATATGGTTTACTCATTTTCCTGCTTAGTAATTTGGTTAAAATGCAGCTGTGTTAATTCTCGAACCTGTAAGCATATTGGGATACTCAGTAACTCAACATTCTGGGAGTGAAATGTAACATTGGGAATTTCAGGTTTAGCATTATTGTCAATCATTTATTGGATTTTCTCAATTGAAAAATGTTGTGTTGTAGGGGGCTCCATAACTTTTGTAATGCCGATGTCAACTAACTCATACCATTCATTAGCATCAAAATTATTTTCCAGAATTTTCTTTAATTTTACTTTCAAACTTTTATTGTTTATTTATAAATAAAAAAAAAACAATTACCACATTTAATTAGGGCCCTGTCGATGAGCATTTTTAGTTTTGAACCAAATCTTGAATCAGAGCTGCACTTGATTAGTGAATCGAATTGAATCTCAAATCGAATCACTAGTTTAAGGAAATCTGATTTAAGTTTTTTCATCACTATATTCTTATGATATACAATTACACAATTAGAATGTTATATGAATAAACTCTTTTTGTTAATTTTAGCCTAAATTAACCGTAAAATAAAAGAGGCTATTAGTTTTAATGTAGATTAGTCCTCCCCCCCCCCCCTACATAGTTAATTCTTTCTGATGAACAATTTGTAGCATGTATAGCAAGAAGATTAAGTGCAGCTTTGCATAATAAAGAGAAAATGTTACAATTGTTTTTCTAGTAGAAGACAATCTGAAAGTCCCAATATTTTCTCCCTTGAGAAAATATTGGGACTATAAATTTATAGAATTATAGAATTTTAACAATACAGTTTATTCGTTACTAATTTTTCTCAGCTCTGTTTAAATCCCTAATTGGCATTTAATTTTATTATATTACATTACAAAATTTCTATATCTCTGAATTTTACATTATTTTTACAATTTTTATGTTAATATTTTAACAACTTTTTAATGCCTTATGTATGAAAAACAACAACATTAAAAAACAAAAAAAAAAAACTTGAAAAACTTGAATCATTTTTTTCAAATCAAATCTTGAATCAAAGTAGCAATTGATTTGAGAATCAAACTGAATTAAATTGATTTGAAAAAAACTTTATCTTAGTTAACTTTAAAAAACTTTTCCTTAGACCCAGTAGGATTTGAAAACCAAAGTTTTGTATCTTGCTGTCATTATCTTTTAGCATGGCATAAAGAATATTTTCAGGCACAATGCATTGTTTTTAATGTTTTTTTTTAACAAGTTTAACATCATCAAAAGGGGAGATTATTTATTCTAGTAACAGTAGATATAATAAGGCTCAGGGATTCATAGAATTTTGATAATTTTTTTAATTCAAACCATGCTGGAACGTAAACCTGAACAATAAAATATATGTTTTTTTTAAGAAACAGTTGGTTGATTGTCTCTAGTATAAAAACAGAGAAGACAAATAGCCACCTTACATAGTTAAACAGTAAAATTTTATAGGCGGCACTTAGTTATATAACACTTAGAGTCATAGGCAATGGCATGACTTTTTAGTAGGGGCCAAAACACCAAAAAACCCTAAAATATCAATACTTACTACTAAAAACCTGATTTATAACCCCCATATACGTAATGTGAGGTGAAGCATTATTCTAAATATAATAATTATAAGTATTTACCTTTGATATCAAACAATTTCTTTAAATTGTTTTTTTTTTAATTTTGAACCAACTTTTAAATACTTTATATTTGATTTTGAAACCAACTTTTAAATAAAAACAAAATACAATACTTTTAAATATAAAGAAGAATTTTTTAGCAAAATTTTATTGGTTTAAACAATTGTGCTTTATAAAAAAATTCGAAACGAGATATTTTAAATTGAAGTTACTAAACTAATATAAAATATTTCAATATTTGTGATTTAACTACCTAACAAAACTAGTCAAAAATTAAGACTTGAATGTAAATCCACAAGCCATTTTTTAACCAGGGTACTAGATTTGGCAAAACATCATGTTGTGAAAATGGCGTAGTTTTATTTTCTACTATATTTATTATAGCTCTGACTTAGTTCATTGAGCACTTTCTTGATAGTATATGCACGAAATAGCATTACTACATATATATATATATATATATATATATATATATATATATATATATATATATATATATATATATATATATATATATATATATATATATATATATATATATATATATATATATATATATATATATATATATATATATATATATATATATATATATATATATATATATATATATATATATATATATATATATATATATATATATATATATATATATATATATATATATATATATATATATATATATATATATATATATATATATATATATATATATATATATATATATATAAGAGACATGTAAACCGACATGTAATTCAGTCAGTATATGGAAGTTAATCAGCCAGTATTATCAAGACAGTTTATTGAAGTGAGTTTTATCAAAGTGTTTTATCAAAGAACATCAATACAAGAAGTGAAATACAACAAGTGTTTCAATACATCAATACAGTCCACATCCAATACAGTCCACATCCAGTCTGGGGGTGTTTTTCTGCTAACGGTCTAGGTCCAATACATCGAATCGATGGAATAATGGACCATTTCATGTATAAAAATATCCTGAAAGATGTTATGTTGCCTCATGTTGAATGGAATATGCCAATAAAATAGGTTTTTCAGCAAGACAACAATCCGAAACACACTACAAAAATAGTCAAGCAGTGGTTTCAAGACAACCACCTATCGGTGATGGATTGGCCGCCTCAATCTCAGGATCTCAACACTATTGAGAACCTGTGGGAGATCGTCAACCGCAGAATTAATCGTGAAGGTGTTCGTAATAAAGATCAACTGTTTGAACAAATCCAAAAGGCCTGGGCAGCAATTCCACAAAGTTTCATTGATCACCTGATCAAATCTATGCCTCAAAGATGCAAGGCTGTGATCGACAACAAAGGATTCGCCACAAAATATATTTATAGCGAAATAAAGCTTGGTCAACATTTTGTGGAGTTGCACTTATTTTGTCCAGAAGGAAATCAACTTTATTTTAATACTTTTGATTAATTTATTAATTTTCGTGTACAAATAAGGAACTTTGTGATGAATATAACTTAAAGAACGTTGTCTCTAAACAGTTACATAGTTATTTCTCTAAATTGAAAAAATGCAGCACTTTTATATAAAAACTAAATTAGCATTATTTGTTTGCACTTGTTTTGTCTGATACTACATATATATACATATATATATATATATATATATATATATATATATATATATATATATATATACATATATATATATATATATATATATATATATATATATATATATATATATATACATATATATATATATATTATATATATATATATATATATATATATTTATATATGTATGTATATATATATATAGACACACATACACACACATAATTATTAAGCAAACAAAATTTAATAAATTTGAAAAAAATATCCATACCATTTCCAAATGCCCAATCATCATTTAACCTATGACGTATTTTATGATAGATAAGAGATACAATACGCATGTTACTTTTACGCCAATTACGCCCCAAGTACTTAATCTGAGTTTTCAACAACTTAAAACATTAATTTAAAAAAAATTTTATTTTTAAAACTTCAATACATCACATTATTAATTATATTCAATACTCTATATCGCCTCATTAATATAAAACTTGATTATTCAACAAAGTATAAAGAAATTGATTATTGGAGATTTATGTGCATCGTTTTTTTTATAAAACTTAAATCACATTTTTTTATACTTAAGAAAAGAAGAACAAGAACAAACAAATCACCGAAAACGAAAAACTATATATAAAAACTAAATGAAACCCTATTTGTGTTGCATAGAAACTTAATATGCTGCAAAAACTACTACATAACACACTTGTACATATTAAACATAAATGCAGATCAAAAAATCTACTACATAACATATTTATACATATTAAACATAAATGCACATCACAAAATATACTACATAACACATTTGTAAATATTAAATGTAAATGTACATTACAAAAACTACAACACTATAAAGAACACATGTTATACATTATACTCACCTTTAAAACATACAACTGCAAATTTTCTTCGCGAATTTTTAAAGCCCTTTTTAATATGGGTGCTGACTTGAATACAACTAACATCTATGTAAGAAAAATAAAACATCTATGTAAGAAAAATAAAAGTTTTATATATTAAAACTTGAAATTTTCTAAAGAGTTTTTTAATTTTATACTTAATCAATAAAGTCTTTTAAACCAACAACAAATGCTGTAAACCTACCATAGTTCTAGAATATTTCCATTTTGTTAACTTTTGAAGAATTCTCAATAAATTGACACATGAAAATAAGTTACGCCAGCAAAATTCACTTCCTTCAATTGTATGTTCCTGTGAATATGAACAAAAAATAATATTCTTAAACTTTTTATAAATTATGCTTAAGCTACTTTGCATAGAAGTTTAGACTGTCCAACCAACCCCTCTGTTAAAAACTAACTTTCGAAAGGTCTTTATAAAGCCTGCATCCACTGGCTGTTAAATTTAGGCTGGCTGCATCCATCAACCCATACCAACAAAAAACCTCAATCTATGAGACTTACTTTTTAAAAAGATCAAAGTGTTGGCAACTAAAGTTGTCACAAACAAATACAACTCTTTGTTTTTCAAACACAAACAAGTTCAACTTCATCCTTCAAGCACAAAAAAATTCAACTTCTTTCTTTAAGCATGAACAAATTCTCTTTATCAACAAAATGTTTGATATTTATATCAAACCAAATCTTGATGGCTCTGATTCAACTTTCTTTTGTATTCTTTTGCATCAAATTGTTTTTATACTCATCATATATATGCGGTAGTGGTGTAGTGGTAAAGCACTTGTTTCATAAGCAAGAGGTTCCAAGTTTGATCCCTAACATGTCCCTAATAGTAGTACCGCACTCAACTTGTTTCTCCGTGCAGCGGCCTTGTTTGTCAAGGTTCGTGTTTTGGAGTTATAGAGTTGGGAGAGGGTTAAAACCACAAGGAGCCTCCTCATCTGTAGTGGCCTTCTTGGCCTTGGGTAGGTGAAGTACAAAAAAAATAAAATAATAAAAAAAAAATGAAAGTTAAAACTTTTTGATGTTTGGATGATGCAATTTCAATTTGAAATAAATCTTTTCCTTTATCTAAGATTCAACTAAACTTTAATTTTGAAATAAAAGACTTAATGTAGAAACTCAGAAAGTTCAGCCTTTTGAATAAGACAAAAAGCACTGACTCAAATTAACTTCTAAACTGAATCTATCAAATAGTCATTAGTTTCTTGAACCTCCAAAAAAAAACTGTATTACATGGCTATAAAAAAAATTACGAATTAAGAAATTGACTACTCAACTACTTCAATGATATTGTTTTAATCTAAGAGTTTAACTTGTTGTTTTTAATTTTATTAAAAACATTAATGACATAGTTTTAATCTAAGAGTATATTTCATTAAAAACAATGAGTTCTGAATCTCTGCTACAAAAAAGAAATCTCTATTAGAATAAAGAAATCTATAATTTGAAACAAAAATAATAATGAAGATTTTTTTAGAGAGAATTCAAAATTTTGTTAACGCCTAACACATTTTGTTTACAGATTTTTAAAGATAGCCAATGTAAGTGTCTCAAAACTATTGTAATTAATTTTTTCATTAGTTATGTAATAATTTTTATAACACAAAATAAAATTAAATCTTATCTATTTAGTTTTAATTAAAATAAAAAAAACACATTAGGTCACTGTTTTAAATACTTCAGAAAAAAAAAAACTTTTGAATAAACAACAATTGATCAAATTGACTGCTTGCATGCAATTAGATTTTGTCTCTTTTAGTCCAAAAAATAAAGTTTTCGCTAGTGTTGTTAAGAATGCAGAAAAAGGTTTTCAAACTACAACAACCGCATCATATTTGTTTACTTTTCTACTTTTAATCTGTCAAAGCGAGATTCAAATTTTATGGTAGATCATAACTAAATATATAAATATTTGATCAGTTGTTTATATTTATAATATTTTTGATATTCTGTCAATTATTGAATTGAGACAAATATAGTGTTGCTAAAAGTATTATATAAAAAATACAAATATCAATTAACAATATATTTTTTAATTGAGGTCACACATTTTAATGTTAATATTTGAAATTGATTTATTTATTAGAGAATATTAGTGTATTTAATTCATTAACTAAAATAAAAATTCTTTTATGATAACAAAACTATTTTGAGTGTAAAAATTCTTAGCAACCAAGTATTATAAAAAGTTTTTGCAAAAAAACAAACAAAAAAACACAACTGATACATAACCAACTTTATTTAGATTTAAAAATTTACCAAGCTTTCTGCTGTAATTTCACTTTTTTCAAAAAGAACACAAGCAGGAAAATCTAATTGTGGAATACTAAACATAAAAAATAGAAAATAAACAAAACTTTCAACAAAGTGGCAAATTGACATTACCATTTTTAGTGTTGGAGACAAATGAATTAATTTTTAACAATATGAAGAAAAAATTGTTATGAAACTCAACACCAAAAAATTATTCATAAATTAAGATTCTATACATAATATACCAAAGTTAGACAATATTTTATCTTTTTTTTTGACATTTTTGCTAAAACATCAAGATAAACCACTTGGTTTAATATAAAAATTTCTTTAAAAAAGTTTAATATATAAAAAAGAATAATAAATGGATAAAAAAACTGAAACTTTTAATGTTCTGACCCACATAATTTTTAAGATCTTAATAAATAATCTAATTTCAATATGTATAAAAAATGCAAATAAATGCAAACAAATAAAAAACAAAATAATAATGATGCAAATTATAACAAATAGAAATAACAACAATGCAAAACAAGAAAAATAATAAATAAAAATAAAAACAATACGAACAAATACAAAATGCAAATAAATAATAAATAAAGATAATAATAATACAAAATAAACAAGAAATAAAAAAATAACAATTAAACTTATTTTACTGCTTTTTCAAACAATTTTTAATAAAATTTTAAAGAATCCTGAAATGCCTATAAATTTATTAATAAAATCTTAAAGAATCCTAAAATGTCTATAAATTTATTAATAAAATCTTAAAGAATCCTGAAATGTCTATAAATTTATTAATAAAATCCTAAAGAATCCTAAAATGTCTATAATTTTATTAATAAAATCTTCAAGAATCCTGAAATGTCTATAAATTTATTAATAAAATCTTAAAGAATCCTGAAATGTCTATAAATATTACATAACTTGTACAACTGTATTAAAAACCTGAAATGTTTTAAATACCATTTACCTATTTTTTGCTGAAACATATGCTGAAATATTCTGATTAAAAAACTTTAAAACCAATGGTATACAGTTGGCAAACACCAAATGTTGACTGACAAATTCAAACTAAATCATAAATAATTTAATAGTATAAAATAGAAAAGCTCTTAAACTTCCTTCTTTTGAATATTCCACTTGAACATTATAGCACAAACAATAAAAACTTAACATTCTAACATTAAAAACATTCATACATTAAAATAAAAACTTAAATAGAAAGTTCTTGAACATCAAACTTTGATGTGCCATTTTTTATTATACGTAACACCTTAATTGAAACAAAGTGCGGATACAGTGGGGGGGGGGGGGTAATGTGGGTAATACATTATCCCCCACCAGACTTTCAATTTTTTTTTTTACTCGAACGACCGCGTTGCGGTTGTTTCAATCAAAACGTTTTAAAAGTTAATAAAATTGGCTGCCTTTTTGCACGTGAGCTAAGTTCCGGTATTTGTGTGTTGAATCGCCTTGTTTTAAAATTGCCTGTATTTAGGATCTTAATTATACTATGGAAAATGCAAAAAGGCGTAAGATGACAGACTATTTTTAACAAAAAAGGTTTTTTAATAAAATATAAAAAATCTTTTTCAATTTATTTTATTTGCTTATGTAAAGTAACTAAAGCTAATGTTGACCTATGTCCACACAAAATGGGTTTTGTGTGGAGATTGGACAATTAACTTTACACTTCGCCCGACACTAATAATTAGTAAGATAAAAAGTGACTTATTCAAAAATAAAAAGTGGACTAAAAATAAAAAGTGACTAATTCACAAATTCATCTAATACAGTAGCGGTAATGCTACAAAATGTTAGAAGGGTATTCACTGTGTTCTTTTTTTTATTTTCCAGTCCTAAAACTACAACAGTTGACGTCAGTCAATTGAGTTTGCTCAGTGGTTCACTACCTACAAATTCTGCAGTCGTCACTCCATACCAAGTGAATTTGCCTAGTGTCTCACATAAATTTTTGGGAGGGGGATCCCAAACCCTCCCCTTAGTAAAACTCCACTTAGTACCCCCTACCACTGAATCCTGAATCCACCGCTGATTGAAACTATGGAACATATATATAGTTTCTTAAATTGTTTGTTTTTCCAGTATAAGTAGATAGTCTATTACATGATAAGCATTTTAGATAATAAATGACATTTCTACTATTACATGTAATGTGACTTTTAATGTTCCAAATTGTGCCATTGGATGTCTCAAATTTATCTACTTCTTGTAAATATAATCAGCAGATTTTACATCGACTGTTTTTGCATTTGAATAATCCTATTTTTTTTGACAGATGACGTAGAGTGAAATTTTGAGCGCGTAATTTGTCTAAGTAAGTTTGGTGGTTGTTTGTATGCTATTACTGGTTGAATATTTGAAAAAACTTTTTTTAATCTTTCATTATCAGATAAACTAAGTAAAAGGTTAGCTTCAGTTAAAATTGGTTGACAGTTTAAATTACTATAGAAGGTAGTCACCAAAGGAAAGGCTTCTTTTGATTGTTTCATTGGCGCTGGCCTTTGTAACTTTGCATTATGAAATGCTTTTTCTATTACATTATCAGGGTAATGACACTCTTTTAACCATATTTTAAGTTCCGTTAGACGTACTTTTTCTGTAGCATAATCAGACGTAAAAACGATTATTCTTTTAGCTAGGTTATAAGGTATGTTCTTTTTTATGTGATACGGATGATGACTGTTAAAGTTTAAATAGTCATGAGTATTTGTTTCTTTGTAAAAAATATCAGTTTTAATGTATTTGTTGTTTTCAAGGATAACCGAAATGTCTAAAAAATTAACTGTTATATACTTTTTCGTTTGCTTCGAATTCAATGCCAAAATCTATTGTAAAATTTATTGAATCATGTAGTTCTGTAAGGGACATTTGGAACTTAGCAATATCTATATACTTTGGTAATATGTTAAAACCATCATTGACATATCTAAAAATAAAACAGACATTCGGCAGTTCAAACGTAAACTTAGATTAAAAGAAAAATTCTTTGAATTACACAATATTGATATTAGTATAGTAAAAAATAAACCGAAATATAATATTAAAACAACTCTACCTGAACTTGATGAAATAATTTCAAGAATTGAGCAAGTAAATCCAATAAAAATTCAATCAGTTGACAACATTTCAATACAAGATATTGTTATTAAAAAAGCAGATAAAGGTAACACCTTAGTTATAATGGATTCAACCTATTATAAAGACAAACTAGTTAATGAAGATCACCTATTTTCTTTAACAACATATGAAAAAACTAATATTGACTCTGACAAGAAAGTTTTCAAAAATCTTTCAAAAATGATTGCGAAACATAAATGTTTAACACAAAACAAAATTGATTATATCACAAATTTCGAATGGAAATCTAGTACTTTTTATGTAATCCCTAAAATTCATAAATGCAATGAAACCACCAAAAGACTTAAAAGGTCGGCCCATTATTGCTGGTATAGATTCACCAACATTGCATCTAAGCCAACTTCTTCACATAATCCTATCTCCTATTGTAAAGTAACAAAAGACTTTTGTAAAAGATGATTGGGATTTTTTAAGAAAAATTCATAGAATAATGGATTCAGATAGTGTTATATCAACTTGTGACATTGTAAATCTCTACACAAGCATTCCACATGATCTTGGTTTACAAGCATTAAAATTTTGGGTTGAAAAACATAAAAATCTAATAGCCGAAAGATTTACCACTGATTTTATCATAGATTCAGCTTCTTTCATTCTTAAAAATAATAATTTCTACTTTGACGATCAATTGTTTCGCCAGATTACAGGAACAGCCATGGGCACAGATTTTGCACCAGACTATGCTTGTCTTACAATTGGTTTTTTTGGAAGAATGCTTTTTCCAAAAATTTTACCAAAATATTTTTCAAAAGAAGAAGTTAAAATTATTAAACAGTTTTATTTTAGTCAATTTGGTTCCTCTTACATACAGTTTTGGTTCCTCTTTCCATACAGTTGGTTCCTACTCTAACGCTGTCATAGATACCTCATTCGAAATATGATAACCTACTAACTTGGTGCAGCTCAAAACACAAATGCAAGCGTTGTGGAATACCGTGCCACAAGAACTAATCAAAAAACTAATAGATTCTATGCCACATAGAGTCTTGGCATGCCTTAAAAACAAAGGTGGTCATAAAAAATATTAAACTTTCCTAAAATCTTTGAAAAACTGTATGTGCGCTAATACTTTTGCACACTTTTTTATAATTGTTTTTATCACTCTTATTGTATTCTAATTAAATTCAAGATAATAATAAAAAAATACTTTTATATATTTTACAATTAGTAATTATGCATTATTTTATGAATTAGTTAAAAAAAAAAAAATCAATCAGTCTTTTATTGTTTTCGAATTACAATCCTTTAAAGTTCTCTGAGGTAAAAAAAATATGAGTGCGCTTATACTTTCTGGAAGCACTGTATATATATATATATATATATATATATATATATATATATATATATATATATATATATATATATATATATATATATATATATATATATATATATATATATATATATATATATATATATATATATATATACACACACACACACACACACACATATATATATATAATATATATATATATATATATATATATATATGTATATATATACACATGTATATATATACATAAATATATATATTATTTATGTACAGTGGTGGCCAAAAGTCCTGGAACATCATATTTTATGTTATGAAATCAATATATTTGTGTGAAAAACAATTTATTAGTAAGTTTTTTTTATTTTTTTCAATAAAATAAGTGTTTATAACAATTTTAAAGATGATAGGTACATGCACATACATGATAAAAGTTCAATATTTAATGGAAGCATAGTTATTGTCAATTACCATTTGGATACGTTTTGGCATGCTGTTAACAAGTTTTGTACAATAGTCTGGTGTAATTTCATAAATCCACACTGATTTGATTGCTTCAACTAAATCATTATAGAATCTAGGCTTTTTGACAGCAACTTTTACTTTCATAATATGCCAACAATTTTCAATAACATTAAGATCTGGTGATGACACAGGCCGATTTTCAAGGGTTTGAATTCCTTCATCAGCAATCCACTTCTTTACAATTTTGGCTGTGTGGCATGGTGCACCATCCTGTTGGAAATAAGTGCAGTTCAAGATCTGCATGAAAGGTGGCAACTTCTCCTTCATAAAATCCAAATAGACTTTGCTGTTTATTGTGGTATTCTTGGGCATTATCCATAATGGCCCACATCCTTTGGCAGAAATAGTACCCCAAACCATACAAGACACAGGAGCCTTGACACTGCTAACTGTATATTTTGGCATATATCTACAGTTTTTTGGTCTTCTTACAAAGTTGTTTGTAACATTAAATTGTTTAATACATGTTTCATCAGAAAAAAGAACTTTAGACCAATTTTCTTCAGTCCAATTTTTGTAGCGCTGACAAAATGTTTTTCAATCTTTTAGGTTTTTTAATGATAAAAAAGTTTTTTTTGCTGGCTTGCATGCCTTCATTTCGAAATCAACCAAAAGCCTTCTTCTAACTGTTCGGTCACTCTTTTGAAATCTCGTGTGCAGATAGCCGTGGATTTGCATGGCTGATCCGGCCAATAAGTTTGTCAGTTCTTGAGGTGGTTGCTCTGGGCCTGCCTGATCTCATCTTAGAAGTAAAATTTAATTGGGGCTCTTCTTTATGCCTTTTTAAAGTTCTACTTACAGTTGATAATGAACAACCAAGCTTTTCAGATATTTCTCTTTGAACTAAACCTTGTTCATATAATGCAGCAATAATTCCTCTTTTTTTAGGTGAAAGTTCTGGCATAATATAGCTAATAAATTGCTTATGAATAATAAAAAACGATAATAAATTGCGCAATATACAAATATGTAACTATAAACATATTGCTATGTAAAAACAAAAGCATCAAACCTTCAAAATTTATACTTTAGATCAAAAATAAATTTTTTTGGTCGTTAAATATTTTGTTCCAAGACTTTTGGCCACCACTGTATATATATACATATAACTTTGTGTGTATATATATATATATATATATATATATATATATATATATATATATATATATATATATATATATATATATATATATATATATGTATATATGTATATATATATATATATATATATATATATATATATATATATATATATATATATTTAACTTTAAAAAAACCTTAAAAGTATATATATAATGTTATTATAAATGTTTCAAAATTGCAATTATATAAATTTTTAGTGTTTTCATTTATAACCTAGCTTCTATTTTAAGATGTTTTAACTAAATTTTAACATTTATATGTATAGAAAGTTATGTTATGTTACTAAACAATTGTTATAAAACAATCATATTACGATCATAAACATTTTGTGTTAAGAAAAACATTATGTTACAAAAAGGTCTTTTGTAATTTTCTCATACTCCAGATACTCCACTACACAGATACTCCACTACACAGATGCTCAATTATATTGTTTTGTTTTGTTATTCATTGGATATTTGGTATTTTTTATCAAATAATTTAAAGTGCTCATATTACCCAGTGGACTGAGCAATATTGAACACTTTTTTTTTTTTAAAACCTCTGCATTAATAAAAAAATATTTAGGGTGCTAAAAAGCCATATTGTATAACAAGTAGTTGGTCCTTTAATCTTATTTATTTTTGAAAATTTTTTTCAAAGCATAATTATTTTTAAAAATATTCCTATTTTTGCTTCAGGTAATAATACTATCCTAATCTTATCTAATAATTATAAACATTATCAAAACAACCACGGTTTATTTAAAATAGTAAATGTAAGCATCATGATAAAATAAAAATTTTAAAATTCAATTCCATTGAAATTCTCGAATAACTGACGAAGTTAAATTGTTGTAATTAATATTAATATGTGAACTCTGTTGTAAATTTGTACAACAATATAAGTGTTTAATTGAACTCTGTTGTAAGTGTGTGTAACAATGTAGGTGCTTAAAAAAATGTTAAACTCAGTAGTAAAAAATGTACAACTCTGAGAAAAGTACAGTAAACACAACTGTCATTTTTTTCAAAAAAAAATTATTTAACTTTTGATAGCCAAAACTTAAATCCAGGATGAAGAATCCTGTTTCATTATATAAACAATATTTATTTTTAATAATTTATTTTTACTGAGATATTTTAAAACTATGTTATTATAATGTAATTACCTGATATATGTGGTTAACTTTTAGATGTTTTAAAATCAACAAAATTGTTATTGATATTGACTTCACCATAATTTCCTTAAAAAAAAAAAAGAGTTATTACATGTTATTGTATACAACATTACAGAAACAGTACATAACAGTCATAATTATTTTGTTTACAGAAAAGATTACAAACCTTATGTCTATTTACATCTATTCCTAGTTGCATTGATTGTAATACTGTTGTTCTGAAATATATTAATAAGAAAATAGTATCAATTATAAGAACATACAAATTAAAAAATTATATCTATCATAACAATATATCAAATAGAACATAGTCAAATAAAAGTCAAACATGCTAGTTTTTAGCACACTGATTATATTTATAAAAGAAATAAAATTTGCTTTTTAGAACTAAACATTTTTCTATTTTTAAGTATTAGACTTTCAGTTTGTGATGTTAAAAAATAAGATTTTATAAAACTACTTACGGCATTTCTGGAGGGAGAATGTCTGTCAGTATATTAATTGATTCTGTTTTTGCTTTTGCAGTGGGTGCTGATGCAAGTAAGATTTTTAATAATGCAATCTAAATAATTTTCAATAAAGCACACATTTTAGTGTATTTTTTTTTAACAATAAATTAAAAAAGTTGAACAGTAATACGCTTTTTTAATATAATTTGTAATTATAACTGATAAATGAATAATTATTGACATGCTTAATTTCCTAAAAATTAAAATATTTTCAATACATTTGCAGATTTATTATTGCTAATGATAATTATATATTAAACTGAAAAAACCACTTTACACAAACACACATACCATATACAAAAACATAGTTTTATATTTATTTGTTACCCTAATAAACATGAAATAATAAAACAAATAAAAAAAATTACAATCACAATAAATTACCATATATTGTGGGAGATTTGGTAATAAAGATTTATATAGAATTTCAGCATTGGTCACAGGAAGATGATGAACTCCCTATAATATAATATCTTTTTATAAAAACTTTATTTCAAATACTTTCATAAATTAATAACAATCTCATTACCATACTAAAAGGTCTCTCAATATGCATTTCTTCTGCCTTTATTTGCATCTCTGACAGTGATTTATAAACATGCTAAATAATAATGTTAATCAAAGAAATATCAAATTTCAAAACCTTCAATAATATAACTTATCCAAACATTAATAGAACAATCTTGGTAGTTATAATTTTTTTTTCCTTTATACGTATTTATACTTTTTAGGTATGATAGAAAAAAGGTGAATGCACATTTATAAACTTAAAAAAAAGCCTCAAGATTTTTTACATTTTATAAAAATACATATATATATATATATACAACTCTCAGAATTAGGAAAAATGAGGTTAAACACTTAGGTTGGCAGTTAGGTCGGCATTGCCAAATTGCTGACCTTAAACACTTAGGTTGGCAGTTAGGTCGGCATTGCCAAATGCCGACTCTAATTCCGAGGAATATTTTCAAAACAAAATATTTTGTATTTCAAAACAAAATTTACTAATAACAACAGCAAAAAAAAGACTTTTGTTGGGATTCTTTTTTGTGGAATGAAATATGGGACACATTAGTTTTACGTAACATTAAATGTTTTAGGTTAAAAAATTATTTATTGCTAATTGCAAAGATGGATATATGGCTAGCAAGCGAAACAAAAAAAAAATTAGTCAACAATAATTCTTAAAGTAAGTCAGATCAGGGCACTAAATTAAATTGAAAAATCACTGAATCGTCAAGTATTGAACCTTGTATATCCTATCCTCAGAGAAACAAAAAATCTTTTCAGACTACTATATATTTCATAACGATAGTAAAATCAGATTTTAATAGATACAGGGGTATGGTGGCCCCAGAGACCATGTAGGATTTCCACATGGGCCTTTCACTTTTCATCTAAATATGAGACTTTTACCAGTTTTAACTTTTTTCTACATTCTGAAAAAAATCCACAACTATTTTTATATTTACTATATTTATGTTAGTTATATATAAGCATTTTTGTGTTTTTTTTTTTTATATTTAGATATAAAGAATAAAATAAAATTGATTATGTTATAGTAATAGTTTTTTATGTTTTACACTGTAATGTTTTGTATATTACAAATCATTTGAAAAAGCATCAGAAAAACAATCAGCAACGACAGTTTTTCTGATATTAATTTATTCTAGCATCATAATGTTTTCTAGAAAAGATTGTTAAAAAGAGCATTGCATTTGCTAAAAATTTTTAAATTTTTTTTTAATATATATTTAGATCGCTTTTTTATGGAACTAACTACTGACTAGCAACGGAGTGCTGCTACATCGACTGAGGGTTAGGTTTGGACAGGCAGTCTATCAAATAATTTAAAAAAAAAAATGTATATTTGCACGAGCTTTATTTTGCCCATGTAAACTGACTTACAATGGTGTTGAGACAGGTGCAGACAATCATAATCATTGTCTAGAATTAGCAGTGAACTATACTGTGAAAAATATTTTACCAATACATCTAATACACGTATTTCAACCAATGAGAAATAATTCTGATGAATATTATTCGCAAACACAGCAGCAGAAAAATTTGAATATTAAGGTGTCAAATTGCTTATAAGTTTAAAAAATTATTAAAACAGAACTTTTTAGTAAACTTAGTGAAAATCTTGATTTTAGAATGTTTACAACTAGAGCTGCACATTGTTAAAGGACAAATAAAATGATCCAAACAAAGAAAAATACAACAGTTTCATAAAAAACTTATTTGATAAATAAGTTTTTTATCAAGAAAATATTTGATAAACCACAATGGTTTGCAGAACAAGATCATTTTTTAGATACATTAGACAATTAGCTAAAACTTACATATAGATGATGATATTGATTTTGTACCTGCACTTGGACTGCTGTACTTTCACAATATTTGTCAAAGTATGGCAGTCCAAGGATTTTACGAGTATTTTGCTATTAATGACTTGTAAAAAAATTCCTAATGATCTTCAGCATCTGAGCTATAAATAACTTAATTGTTTCTACAGCTGAATGAACATTCTTTTTCTACAATTAATAATCTTGTATTCTTTACAAAGCTCTATGATAATAAAAATCATGTAGAGTTTTTTGTTTATTTCATTAGTAGGTCCACCAGTTATTAATTTTGATCAAAAGAATTATGTAATAAAGTGGTTTGGAAAAGGACATTGTGATAATAATTTCAGGAACTGTGAAGTTAGAAACATTTAAGTCTGTAAATAAAAGTGAAACATTTTGGGAAGATATTTGGATAAAAAAAAGTGTTTAAATTATAATATTGGTAAACATAAATAAAGATTACTGTAATTGTATTAATATACTTACCATTGTTTTTTGATTTTTTAGCGAATCTTGATTTTAAATTTGACTCTTTTTATTAATAGTGACATTATCTTAAGAATATAACCCTCCCACCACCAGTTATAATTTTTACTACAGACATTATAATCCCTTATTTGAGAACATAACAGATTATAAACAGTTGGAGTACAATTTTTCAGAAAATTTTTATTGCATAATAGGAACTTGTTAATACAGGCAAGATGGTAAAAAGAAAATATTAAAAACATCTTGTTAACTTTTTTTCCCATTTAGAGCACTATATATATACATATACATCCCTAAAAAAGTTCCACCATTAGATACCACCAAATAGCAATAACCCTAGCTGTAATATTTATTAGAAGCATAAAAGTTACTTAAGCAAAATAAAATCACAATATTAGGAAAAATCCATTGGTATAGTAAAATACAAGTTATATAAACAGAATTTTTTGCAAAAACTATTTAAAACTCTTACACTTTTAAGAACGTCGACTCCTTCAATTATAGATGAAGGTAATCCATATGTTGAATCACTATCACTAAAAAGAAATAAATCATGTTAATAATCTACAGCCCTAGGGATTAGGGCTGACATTTGGCAATGCCAACTTAATTGTCGACCTGAAAATTTTTGAGGTCAACAAAAATTTGCTGAACTTGTTTTTATGTTTTATGGTAAACCTTGGTGTCTAATATTATTGCCAACTTGATGGCAATTTCTAACAGTTTAAGGTCAGCAATAAATTGCCGACTTCATCTTTCCTAATTCCGATGGCTGAATCCTGAATGTAATTTTGTAGAAACATTGTAAAAACATTTTGTAGAAACATTATAAAAACATTTTGTAGAAACATTGTAAATATATTTTGTAGAAACATTGTAAAAACATCTTGTAGAAACATTGTGGAGACATAGTAGTTTTTGTATTAATAAAAAAAAACTAAATAAAAAAAAATATTACTAAATAAATAAAAAAAGTCATTCTTTTGAGTTTAAAAATTAAATCAGAAGATGAGTATTTTGGTATACTTTTTAAATTACAAAAAAAGCTCACACATCTAAAATGCCAAAATACAAGTTTTGTGTTGTTGTATTTAAAAAAATATTAAATACTTCTTTTCAAATACGAGTTGTTAATAAATCACTAGACTTTTAGGCATTTACACCCTTAGTTTTTAAGCTAGAGATTTAACAAAATTACACCCTTAGTTTTTAAGCTAGAGATTTAACAAAATTACACCCTTAGTTTTTTAGCTAGAGATTTAACAAAATTACACCCTTAGTTTTTTAGCTAGAGATTTAACAAAATTACACCCTTAGTTTTTTAGCTAGAGATTTAACAAAATTACATCCTTAGTTTTTTAGCTAGAGATTTAACAAAATTACACCCTTAGTTTTTGAGCTGAAGATTAAAATAAATTACAACATTAGTTTTTAAGCTAGAGAACAAAATTTCATCAAATAGAGTTTTAGAGAGAGTGGTAGGTGTTTTTTTTTGTTGATCATCAGAAGTGCCAGTGTGAAAAATGGTTCTTGTAAAAGATGAACTATTCTCCCTGTAAATTACAGTAGAGGTAATCAATGCCGGTCTTGATTCTCTTTTTTTTGCTCTTATCAGGTAAACAATGTCTTGCATAGGTTTTGATGTCAGTGTACTTGGCAAGAGTTTTAATGAAACGCCAATAAGTGCATCCAAATTATCAACCAGTTACTGTGCTCAAAATGGTTTTCAGATGACTTTAGGGGTCAAAATTTTGGCCAAACAACCACTTCCTTGCACTCTTTTGTGAACAGAACCATTCTCTGCATGTTAGATTATATCATAGATAGTGCTTCTTGTAATTTGTTTAGCATTGAAGTGATCTACAGCAAACTTTTTATTTTGCCATTTACTAACCAAAAAAAGTCAAAAATCCATTATCGTACTTTTTTCTTGTTTGGACACCATTTTTTCTTTTTTTTTTTTATAACTATTTAAATACAAGTATATTATAATAGTATATTACCTTATAGAGAATTAAATAAGCTTTAATGGATTTAAAGCATGAAAAAAAAGTGATTAAGTTTGTGGCATTTAAAAGTCAGTAAAATTCAGTCCAGATTTTTAGTAACCACCAATTATGAAATAAGAACTTCTCCAACATTCAAATTTTTTTAAATACAATCTATGTTAAGATATAAAAAAAACTTTTTTGATTTGCACAAAAGTAATTTTGCAAATAAATTAACTTTTAATCCTAATTTTTTCATGCTTCATCATTAATCTTTTCATGTTTTTACTTCATTATTGATCAATATTTAATATATTACATCAATGATTATATGTTTCTAATTCATTATTAACCTTTTCATGTTTTTACTTCATTATTAATCTTTTCATGTTTTTGCCTCATAAATAATTGTTTAAATTTGTTTATATATGGCTGGTTCTTTTAATAACAAACTTTGTTTAGCTAATATGGAACAAACATATTAACATGTAGCTTTTTTAATTTTTTAGTTATAATACAAAAAAAAAAAAAAAAAAAAAAAAAGAGAAATAATACCTTGGCAGTTGGAAGCCAATGTATTTCTTTCTACATGCTTCAAGAAATATTGTAACATCTTTTTCTCTAAATCAAAAAAATTTTAACAAACACTTTTACAAAAGTAGAAATTTAAATTAAATTTTCTCAACAAAAGAGCTGACTCTATATATCTTACTTTAGGTCTCAACAACTGTTTTTATATACCTTACTTTAGGTCTCAATAAAAGAGCTGACTCTATATAATGATGCGACTGTGTTACAAGTGCAGGTACAAAATCAATATCATCATCATCCAAATCAACAGTTTTACGAGGCTTTCTCTCGTGTCGACTTTCGTCTAAAGGAGATGATGGTCTAAGTTGATGATGTTTTTCTAATTCAATCGTGTTTACATTGTATTTGCCAAAAGTTGCTTTCAGTCCCACTTTTCTACGAGATTCCTTCATTAAAGATTTCAAATCTTTAAAACCGCCAAGCGTAAACTAAAAAAAAAAAGCATTTGCAATAAATGGTTAATAGCAATAAGCATTTGAGACAACCAAAATATTTCTATAGAATTAATTAAGTGGTTCAGAAAAACGTTAAAAAAATGAAATTATATAAAAAGTGTGTCATTGTGGATATAACAAAATTATAAAAAACATAACATTTTTTTAAAGCTTTTTTGTTTTACCGTTGTCAGCAGTGTTAAATTTAAACAAGCTTTTTTTCTCCAGACACAGCCCATTTAAAAAGAGTGGCTAATGTTAATCAATACTTTAAAAATAAACTTTTTTTGACTTGATAGGATGATGACAGGTGACAATAGGATGATGAAAAAATAAGAATAAGATTATTTAGAAAGAAGTATCCAAAATGAACTCTGAAAGACCACAAAAATTCATAAATGTGGCACACAAAGAACTGTTAATCTGTAATACATCAAATAATGTCTCTAAATTCTAGAGATCAAAATGATGATTTCATCCCTTTTTCATTATTTATTTGTTAATCTGTAATATATTCTGGTTTTATAATTATGTGCAAAGTGTGTACATTTTTTTATAATGCTGCAAAACTAAGATAAGGATAACATTTTTAACATACAATCTTTTATAGAAATTGGTTTCCATAAACTCTATAGATACACCACCATAGGTCACATCATGGTTCAACTATAGATAACCTCAAACATAAATCTATAGTCAAAGTACAATGGTTTAACTGTAGATATACATAAATCATGCATAAATTATACATATATAGTTAAAGCACAATGGTTTAACTATAGATATGCATAAATCATGCTTAAATCATACATATATAGACAAAGCAGAATGATCTAACTGATGATATATAAAAATTTATCACATGATGATTTAATTCACAAGTAAGATTTAATTCACAAGTAAGTTTGATAAATGACTGACTATGAAGTGATTTAAAGAACCTTTAAATATATTGGTAAATATAATACTCATCTTGGGCAGATGTTAACTGCATCCAGCTACTGTCTTGTAGAAGGCCTCTTAGGCAAAGACTTTAGGGGTAAGCAGAAAAATTCTGCTAACCAGCCTCGAACCCCTTCTTCATCTATTAGGCTGGCGTAGATGTAACCTGGATCTCCTTGACTCTACTCATAGAATTTTGCTTATGCCTCCTTGATAATGGCTATGCAACTCTTCCTGTTATCTCCATATGAGGGTACAGCTCTAAAACTCAGTTTAATGGTTCTGAGGCCGGCTGGTAGTAAGGTTTCCCGAACTCTGTGGTAGCTCTCAGAGAGGCTTATTCCATCAACAGCTGCAAAATATCAGAGTATTAACAGTGCCATGTTGCGCATGGATGGTGTCCCTGTTCATGCTTTTGGTGTGCATTGTCAAGGCCACATAAGGAGCCCTATGTCACGGCTTAGGGTTAATTAACAGGACAGAGACAACTGCATAGCTCATTGATTAAGAGGCTGTGCTCTATCTATGAATGAGTCAAGTTCTCATTAAACCCAAATCATGACCAAAGTAACCAAAAATTTAAAACCTAAAAAACCATCCCCACCACCTAAATATTTTAATATATCTTTTACAAATATTCGCGGTCTACGAAGCAACTTTCCATCAGTTGAGTCTTACCTCCTGCAAAATTCACCAGACTTGCTTGCACTTAGTGAAACAAATTTAAGTTCTGCAACCCCTTCTTCAGATGTCAGTGTTGATGGGTACTATCCTTTGATTCGTAAAGACTCCAATAGTCACATGCTAGGTTTAGGGGTATACATACGCATTAATTCCCCTATTTGTCATGAAATCAGGTTCGAATCTTTTGACCATTCTTTTATGTGCTTTCGCCTAGCACCTCTTCACTCTATCACCTTTCTCTTTGTTCTTTATCGTTCTCCTTCTTCCCATGATTGCACTCTTTTAGATGTTATCTCTGATCAAATTGACCATGCCTTCTCTCTTTACCCCTCTGCCAATATTGTTGTTGTTGGTGATTTTAATGCCCATCACACTGAATGGCTTGGCTCTAACACCACTGATTCTGCTGGCACTAAAGCCTTCAACTTCTGCGTTTCTCAATCTCTTACTCAGATAGTTAACTTTGTGACTCGTTTTCCTGACAACCCTAATCATTTACCTTCACTCCTTGACTTATGTCTTGTCTCTGACCCTAGCTTATGTTCAGTTTCTCCCTTTTCTCCCTTAGGTGGTTCTGACTATGCAATGATCTCTATAAATCTTTCTTCTCGTACTTCTTTTTTGGGCTCACCTTACTATCACACCACCTACTACTACCCTAAAGCTGACTGGGATTCCTTTCGTGATTTTCTTCGTGATGGTCCTTGGGCTGATGTTTTTTCTCTCTCAGCTGACAAATGCGCCTCCTACATAACCTCCTGGATTCAGGCTGGAATGAAAGCTTTTATTCCTTCGCGTCGGTTTCAAGTCAAGCCTCATTCTACTCCATGGTTTTCTCCTTCTTGTGCGGCTGCTATATCCAATCGTAATCATTTTTTTCATCTTTTTCAAAAGAACAACTCTCTTGAGAACAAAGGGCTATTTATTATTGCAAGAAATCGATGTAAAAAGGTGCTTTCTGATGCTAAACTCCATTATTCTCAGTTCACTAAATCTCGCATCTTATCGCAGAAATTAGGCTCTAAAGACTTTTGGAAAATCTTCAACAGCATTATTAACAAGGGTAGATCTAACATTCCATCTCTCATTCATAGGACTGATCTTATTACCTCTCCCAAGGATAAGGCAGAACTATTTGTAAAGTACTTTTCTTCTAATTCCACTCTTGAATCTTATGGACATTCTCTTCCTTCCATTCCAGTCAAACAGGTTGACCCATTGTTAGACACTCAAATCACTCCGGCTTCTGTTGCTAAAATCATATCTCAATTAAACTCGTCTACAGCTTGTGGTCCAGACAACATTCCTATCACAGTCTTGCAGAATTGTTCTCCAGAACTTTCTTCAATTCTCTCTAAACTATTTAACAAGTGTTTGACTGAGTCTTGTTTTCCTGCTAGCTGGAAAATGGCATCTGTGGTTCCAATATTCAAAAACTCTGGAGAAAATTCTGACCCCTCCAATTATCGTCCGATCAGTCTTCTTTCTGTTATTAGCAAGGTCTTTGAGTCTTTGATCAACAAATTCCTCACATCTCATCTTGAGTCAAATAAACTACTGTCAGACAATCAATACGGTTTTCGATCCTCTCGCTCTACGGCCGACTTGCTAACTGCTGTAACTGAAAGATTTTATCGTGCATTAGATGGAGGCAGTGAGGCTAGGGCTATTGCTCTCGACATATCTAAAGCTTTCGACAAAGTTTGACATGCTGGTCTTCTCCATAAGCTTGCTTCATATGGTGTTTCTGGGAAAGTTTTTGAGATTATCAAATCATTTCTTTCTAATCGGTTTATTAAAGTCATCCTTGAAGGCCAACACTCTTCTTTATTTCCAGTAACTTCTGGGGTTCCCCAAGGTTCCATCCTGGGCCCTGTTTTGTTTCTTATCTACATAAACGATCTTCCTGACAACCTTTCATCTAAAAGTAGCTCTTTTTGCTGATGACTCAACTTTATACTCCTGTCTTGACAAAAAGTCTTCTCTTTTCGATCGCCTAGAACAAGCAGCTGATCTTGAATCCGATCTCACTTCAGTAATAGATTGGGGTTCACAGTGGCTTGTCAATTTCAACTCTAAAAAAACCCAGTTGCTTACTGCAAACAACTACCGCAATATGGTCAACATTCCTATATTAATGAATGGCAATTCTCTTACTGAGTCGTCCTCTTTACGTCTTCTTGGATTATCGCTTACTACTGATCTTTCATGGAAACCATATATACAATCGATTGCTAAATTAGCTTCTGCTAAGGTTGCTTCTCTTTATCGTGCTCGTCATTTTCTTACTTCTGATTCCATTCTCTACCTCTACAAATCTCTTATTCGTCCCTGTATGGAATACTGTTGTCATATTTGGGCTGGTTTTTCTAACGATTCACTTTCTCTTCTTGACAAGGTCCAAAAACGCATTGTAAATGTTGTTGGACCTGGACTATCTGCTAAGCTTGAACCTCTTTCCCATCGTCGTAAAGTTGCATCTCTTTCTCTTTTCTACAAATACTATCATGGTCACTGCTCAAAGGAGTTATCATCTCTAGTTTCATTAACTAAAATTCATTCTCGTTTTACTCGTCATTCAGCTAAGTCTCATTCGTTTACTGTATCTGTCCATGCATGCTCTAAAAACTTTTATTCATCTAGTTTTTTTCCCCGCACTTCAATCCTTTGGAACTCTCTCCCATCTTCATGTTTTCCTGACTCATACAACCTTCAACTTTTCAAGTCTTCTGTCAACCGTTTCCTTGCTCTATAACTCTGTTCTTTTTTTTTCCTAGTAACTCCCAACTTGATAGTGGTTGCTTGCAGCCTTGTTGGGAGTGTATGCAAATTAAAAAAAATAATAAAAAAAAAAATTGGTAATTGTAATAATTAGCATCAAAAGCAATATCTTATTATACATTTCAAAATTTCTTTTTAAAAATACTTGCTAAATCATTTTTGAAACTTAATTTCATTATTCAACTGCAAAATGCAAATCAGTAAAAAAAAAAAAATTACTTCTTATATTTAATTTATACTTATACATAACAACAGACTATACATAGCAACAGACTATACATAGCTACTAGACTATACATAGACTATAAACTAGAAATTCAAATCTTAAATCTAGAATAAAATTGTTGGTAATCAAATAGATATTTTTTATTAGTTAAAAAGTGCTCCTAAAAAAGCTTTATTTAATATACACAGATGAAAACAAAAAATAAATTTAAGTTTGATAATAAAAACTGATATAGTCCCAAAAAAAATTTTTTTAAAGACAAGTAAAAACTATAAAAAAAAAACAATTTAGATATAATTAACCAATTTGATGGTTAAAATTTTTTAATATTATTTACTTGTAGTTGTCTATTTTTGTTGTTTAGTTGTCTATTTTGCAGCATAAAACCACCCAATTATTTGAACCTATATTTATAACTAAAAGTTAACAAACTTACTAAAGTAACTTTCCATAACAAAAGCAATATTTTTTTGATAGGAAAATGTGAGCTAGATCCTGCACAAAACTTTAAAACCAAATCAAATAAAATGCAAGCAAATGGAGGATCATTAACATCTTCCAATGAACCAGCTGAAAGTAGTTTTTAAAAGTTTTAAAACAATTTTGAAATTTTTTTGGGCAGAAAAGTTTTTCAAGCATGCACAAACTGCATTAAATAAAAAAGGTAAATGAAAATTGTGATGAATGTTGGCAGAAATAAAAGCTCAATATTGTTAATTGTTTCAATGTTGATATTTTCTGCTAGCTTTTTATTCAACACTATTGGGCATGCTCAAAGAATTTTTCAACTTAAATATATATATATATATATATATATATATATATATATATATATATATATATATATACATAAAAGAGTTAATTCGCCCATTAATTTATATATATATAAGTTAAATTGCTAGTTTAGATGAGGACTCTAACATCACACTGAAACAGCCTGCTGCCAGGGACTTCAGTATATACATTGACTGACAAATAGTCTGACTCGCAGCGGAGTGCTGCTACATAGACTGAGGGTTTGGGATAAGGCAGCAATCTTTTCTTTCATTATTCTTTGTTTTTTTCTTCTTTTTCTAAAAATGTAGTACGCTATAAAGATAAGCAAAAATAGTGAGCGAATGCTCATCTAAACCAGCCATAGAAGATCAAGCTTCCCCTGACCTGAAGGATAATAAACAACTGTAACCTCATCCCATTACACGCGCTACAAAAACTTACCTAAACTTATCTGAAAAAAAATTTAAAAAAATAATAAATATTAACGAAAGAGAAAATAAAAAAAAATACTTAGTTAAAGCAAAAACACAAAAAAATAAATATTTATATATAAAGCAACTAAAACAAAACTCATCAAACTAAAATGCTTAGTCTATTTAATTTACGCATTAAAAATCCTTTTTAATCTTTGTTTCAACATTTTTATATATTTTTTATTTGTTCAATATGTTCAAAAGTTAAATATTTCTCATAAAAAATACATAGTTATATAAATAAAATAAAAAAACATTTTATAACTACTTTTTTAATTTAATTAATTAGAAGTGTTTTTTACTTCATTAAAAGCATTTCGATAATATAAAAGCATTTAAGATCAAACTTATTAAATTGTAACGGTTTTCTAAATCTTTTTTTTTTAGCGAAATTTTGTTTATCTTTTTAAATGCATTACTTTTAATCATTCTTATATTTAAATTTGTTAAAGAGACTTTCGTAGTCGTAGAATGTCATCGTTTATAAAAGCATAACAATTTTTTATTTTTTAATAAGATTTACTTTAGAAATGAACACTTCAACAATTTATATGTTTTAAATTAAAAAAATATATACAGCTGTCAATTATATTTAAAAAACAAAACTTTTTTTCAGTAAATTGTTACTTTATTTAAAATGGTTTCGCTAATATAAAAACATTTGTTAAGAAGTTTTGATGTAATTAATTTCACTTTTTTAGAATATTTTTTATTTAGCGCGTTTCTAAAATGTTTTTTGAATTAGCTGCGGTCAAACCGTCATAGCAAAACGTAACTTGCGTGGTCATATAAAGAAGTGAAATCGCACGTCTTCCTGTGAAAGCCTGGGACCATAATTTTTTTCAGACTATCCACAGCCTAATTAGGACTGTTTTCCTGAGCACATTAATAACATAATTATTTTGACATAAGCGCAACAAATTTCTACCTATGTTTTGATGTTTTTTGAAATTTTAAGCTTTTTTAAAAGTTTTCTCTCTTTCGTTTGTTACAGTGTATATTATCTTTACTTATGTTATGTATATAACATCTGTTAAACTTCAATAGTGTTTTACTTTTTATCTTAGAAAAATCAAAAAAAAAAGAAAGTTCCAGTGGTAGTATTTGAACCACAGCGATTTGCTTTAGAAAATCCGCGAGCTATCCATTCGGCTACATAGGTGTGTTGACTGATGAAGATTTTAAAACTGTTTAAGAAATAAAAGACTTTATAAAACAGAAATAAATGCTATAGATCAAAATTATGGAGATTTGCCGCAATGCAATTTTTAAGTGAAAGTAAAACTGTAAAACTTGATACATGTTTAAACATTACATAGTTTGAAGTTTACATAAGTCAGATTTTGCATACTCTTTCATTCATATTTTCTTATAAAAAAAAGGACTGCAACTCTTTATCACCATTACCTCAGTTGCAATGGCAGACAAGGATTCTGTGCAAAACAGGCTCAAAAGGGCATTATTTCTATTAAGTTCAGCATTATTACATAGATGGGAAAATTGATATTGGATGGATTAGATTTAAAAAAAAAAGGGTATAGAAAATCACAAGACTTGCAAAAACTATAAACACCAATCTAAATAATAGATAAAAAATACATAAAAAAAACCTAGTTCTTCTTTAAGCGTTAAGCTGGCTTCTTGCATTTTAAGATCATACTTTGAAAAATGCTGAACAACTTCTAACATTGTGTAAAGTATGTTTAGTGGCACTCTAAATGAACCGCCCAAATATAAAAAATGAAAAATAACCACAAGTTAAAAAACCAAATTATAAAATGGTAAATTATGAAATACAAAATGTTAAATTGTAAAAAAAAAATTATTTTATGTAAACCATGCATAATTTATAAAACCTCATATCAATGCTATCAGCTATTGTAATTGAAGGTTTTCGTAGAGCAGCTTGAGCTCTTTCAGTATTCCTATAAAAACCAAGACCAGTACATTGTCTATATTTTAGATCAGTACATTGTCTATATTTTAGATCAGTACATTGTCTATATTTTAGATCAGTAAAAAATCTTCAAACAGCTCAGACCAAAAATGAAGATCAAAAAATAATATTAAAAAGAATACAACTATAAAAACAAATAAATAAAAGTAAAAGAATAATAGCTTAAAATTAGGCAAACATACTCTGCTTCCATTACAAGTAGCTCCTGAACCGCTGAAAATGTGCCACAATTAAAAAGAAGAAGGACATTCTCTTTCATCTAAAAATTTAGAAAAACATAAATTTCAAATTTTTTAACTTTTTAACATACGCAAAATACTTCAAAAATTAAATTAATTCAAAAATTATATTAAACATTTACAAATACAACCAATATCTGACACAAACCAGTTAATAAATTATTATCAACAAATTAAAATATTTATTTATGAAAAAATTATATACCAAATACCGTACAAAGTTTTAATAAAGTCAGATATAATTATTATTTTACAACATAATGGTAGAAGTACATGAAATATCTTTACAAACCACTTTACTGTTATGTATCAGAAAAATAGTTTCAAAAAATAGTATAGAGTCAGAATATAAATGTTGCTAAGAAAATCTTGAAAATGTTGCTAAGAAAATAATGCTATGAAAATGTTGCTAAGAAAATGTTGCTGAGAAAATCTAAGAAAATTTAAACCCTGGTATAGATAATCAATATTATAATTTTATAATTTACGATAAGACTAATTAAAATATATTTTCTCTTTATGATTTGATTCATAGCAGCTTGATTCAAAAGTTTTATTTATTTCTTGTGTTTTATCACTATAATCAGTTGAAATTTGAACAATTTTTTTCACAGAGTTTTCTCAAAAACCACTCATATAATTCCAATATATTTTTTAATGATGCATACATAAGTAGTTTTTTGTGTCTAATTTTGTTTACACCTGATTTGTTTTTACAATATTAAATAAAAAGTCTGAAAATCTACAAAATAAATTGAAATTTTATAATGAAAATAACTTGCACACATTTTCAACAATTTCAAAAGCATGTAAAGTTTTAAAACCAACAGTTGGAATTGCCATTAAAGATTTTGAAGAGAACTTATGAAAAGAAACTATGAAGTGGAAAATCAAGATTTAATGACAAAAAGTTTAATCAAAAGTTGACTTGATTCATCGAAATCAGTCATGGACAGGAAAGGTGTACTATCACACTCTATTCCTGACCATGAATGAAGCAAGAAACCGCTTTTAGACATTGCATACTTTAAATAAAATTTAAATTATCAAAAGATATTATACTGTTGAAAAGTGTTGAATGTAAATGTTTTAAAAAAAAATTGTGCAAATAGTTTTAGAAAACAATTGTTTTAATAAACTTTTTGATGAACCCATATATTTAATAGCCGAAAGCATAACTAAATTATTTTTTTTTTGTTATGCTATGTAAACTTTCTAATAAAATTTGTTTACACCAAGCTAAATGCTTTTAAATAAAATGCTATAAAAAAAAATTATTATAGAATATTAGATAAAACTTTTATTTCAAAAGTTTTTTTTTCGTCAAGCAATAGGTTCAATCTTAACGTAATTACAAAACATAATTAAAAATAATTTTCTATTACAGTTTAGTTTTTCAGATTTATATTAAATAATTTTTTTTTAGAGGTATAGGTTTTAACTTTTTTTTTAATTTCTTTTTTTTTAAGATTTCTTTCTTTTTTATTTAGTTTAGTCTGTTTAATTTTTTTTCTTTGTTGGTTTTATCCAGCCCGTTTTTAGTTATCTAAAAGGTCAAGGGTCAGCTTTCAAAAAAACAATTACATGTGTGGTCAAGATTGGAGTGCAATTACACGCCTTTCCTGTCAACGACTGATTGAAATCCAACTCAGTTACAACAAAATTTAGCAAACTAAAAATAATTTTTTTATATTAATTAAATGAAGCAGATTTTTCATTCAAAAAGTATTGAAAAAAGATAATCTGAAAACTTATCACAAGAACAAAATACCAAACAAGTCACTTGATGGAGAAATAAAAGTAACTGAACAAGCTTACAATTTGCTTAGTCAATAAAACTTACTGTAAAAAAAATCACTCAATGCTTTCAGGTAATCAATACTATTATCAGTCAAAATCTTATATAGTGTCTGACAGATTTAGGTACATTCAAGTTAATTCTCTCACAAGTTCCATGAATGTTAGACTATTTGCAGTTGTGTCCTTAAAACCTCTCCTTTTATAACAAGTCAAACTTCGACATAATATATATATATCTGATTGAATGGTTGTAAAAATGACTTCTTCTTGTAAGTAAAAAATATACTTGACCAACTATATTTTGGCCAGATTAATGCAGATTAATGCAGTAATGGTGTATTGATAGCGATTGCTACATAAGTAAAAGTTCTGAGTTCAATCCACCAAGTCCCTGGTAGTACTTAAAAGTTGAGAGAGTTAAGAATTAAAACCACAATAAAGTAGCTTCCTTGATTTTAGAGTTGAGGGGGTTAAGAGTTGTAACCACAATAAAGTAGCTTCCTTGATTGTAGTGGCCCTATTGGCCTTAAGAAAGTGAAAAACATAAAAAAATTCAACATCGAACCACAAATTAATAAAAGTAATGGTTTGGCATATGAAAAATACTAATCCATTACTGAAAAATACAAAAAAAAAAGTATTTTGGAAGAGGGTGCTACTTCAAAGCAGGTAAATTAAGAATATTGAGTTTCATAGACTTATGTTATGATCAATATTTATTTGAGGGGAAAAAAATATTGAAAATGCAGGAATACAAAAATGTTATTAATCTTTATTTAGTTTACTTTGAAGATAAAAAAAAACTTTTCTTCAACTCTCTCCTCTATCTGAGCTACACATAATAATGGGGGTTGAGGATAAACTTTGAACTCTGCTTTTATGTGTTTGGCATGCTTTTCAAAACTGGTTGAAAACACATTACATACTAATGAGAGGGAGCATGACGTAGGTTTAGATGGAAACATTGAATACAGAGTATGAATATGTCAGTGTTAGATATTTTGAAGAAGAATGTTTTTTAACTTTAACAACTGGTAATTTAATTTTCTTTTGAAGATTGAAGAGGTTTTCTTTTTTAAGTTTTCATTAGTGAAATCAGCAATGTTCTATTTCAAACTGGGTACTAGGTTTTAGTTTGGGTACAGATAGTTCTTTTATAAATAAAAACTTTAGAAGTTAATCTTTTAGTCTTTACTTTAATATGAAAGATATTTTTGATTAAACAATTTTGTAGAATCTTATTTTATTTTTTTAGAATCTTATTTTAGCCAACTATGCAGAATAATCTGTTCATCGCAAATTAAAAAAATTTTTGTGAACTATAAGAGAACTAGAGAAGACAAAAATCAAAAAGATAAAATCTACTGTAAAGATTTTTAATTGAAATAAACAATAGCGTTAACATTATTTGCAATATAAATGTATTAATAATATGGTTTTAATTTTAAAAATATACATATTAAGCACTTAGTTTTGGGGTTTTTTTTACAGCATAAATTATATTTACTAATGCATATGATTGATTGAATGCAAAAAAAAATAGGATGTGGGGAGAGTTTTAACTTAGTAATGAATTTAGAGAACAGTCTGTATGATATATTATAAAAACTAATATATTATCGTAACAATAATTTAATATTTATAATACTTTACCAGTTATGTTTATAATATTATTTGCTACAATAATTATAAAACCTATATTTAATAATATTTTATTTCTTTTTTTATTTCATAATAACAATTATCAAATATTTTTAATGAAGAAATTAAGAGTAGACTTGATTTTAAAATGAAATCTAAATACTGTGTATACATGCGTACTGCGTATACATATTTTTAACAAAAAATTCACATGAAGCTGCTTAAATGTAAGTTAATGAATACTCTGCATAATATTTAAAAAACAACCCTGTATAAAATTTATAAAATGACCTTGCACAACATTTACAAAATGATATATATATATATAAATAATGATCTTGATGAATCTATATAAATGATGAATTATAAAACTTTTATTCCTATATGAGAATTATAAAATTTTATCTTAAACCATGACTAAAGAATCAAACGCACTGATTTTCAACTAAATAGTGTTTTTAAATATTATATATTTTATAACGTAAATTTATATGATATATTTGAATATATAAAATGTTTCTTGATACAAAAATATTTTTAAATTTTAAAACTAGTGTTGTTTTTGACTTTTAAATAATTTGACTGTCAACTAAATCAACTAATTTATATTATCACTAAGTCGACTAAATTTGACTAATACATTTTTAAAATCAACTAAGTTCAATAAAAGTTGATTTAGGCAAATTATGGGAAAAACTTTTTTTTCGAAATAAATTGTACAAAAAATAATAAAGTAATTTATATTTGTTTTCTATTTTTCTACATCATATCATTAAAAAATAATGGAGTAAAACAAAATGAGAGCAGGGCTGCTCCAACAAGACAATTTATTCTCAGACCCCAATGGTTTAGGGACTGCCTAAATGCTTGTTAAATATCAAAAGTATCTACAATTATATTTACAATGTTATTGTATAGATGATATTTAGATTTTGAAGCTTCACAACTAAATTTTTGCCCCAGGGCCTTGAGCCAGCTTGGAACAGACACCTCAGAATGGTTTGAAAGTATTTATGAAGATGACAAGCATAGCATGAACATAAAAAAATGATAATAATGAAATACATAACCAAAATTTTAATTAGAAACAAATATTGCTAACATTCTATGAATTTTTTTAAACATTAAGAACAAAAAAAAACAGTAGTTATTATAGCACATGCAATTCTAATTAATTGAAAAAACAAAAGTTAAAAATTGAAAATATTAAATTGAATAAAAAGATATATGAGTTTTAAGATTGTTACTTGGACTCAACTTTAGTATGAGTCCAAGTAACAATCTTAAAACTCATATAGTCAATTAGTAGGAAATCCATAGTCAAATAAATCGACTGTTCAATTTTTCAAAGTTGACTTTCAACTAGTTGACTTTTAGTCAATATAGTGGAAGTTAATAACTTTATTATAACACTTTTATTATTCAAAAAGTAAAAATAATAGATGATACCATTTCCATATATTCTTGATAACTCTCATGTTCTTTGAATACTCCTAAATATTATAAAAACAATATTCAGTAAATATCAAAATTCTATACATAATATAACATACATAACAAATTCATTGAAAAATAACTTCAGCTTTAGAAACTTTTTTAGAAGACTTTTTACTGAGTTTAGCCTGTTTCAGTTAAGCAAATAATAAACTCCTTACTTTATTATGAAGAATTTTATTACTAAGAAAATATATGTGGTTCCTTTCAGGAAAATTGCAATGACATCTAAAGACCTCTCATACTAACACTTTGAATTGTTTTTTTTAGGGCAACTAACTGTTGTTAGTTAAGTCATTCATTCAGTCTTTTTATGATGGCTACCCCAATGTTGTTAACATCTTAAAATTTATTATTATCTTAATATTTCTCCTCTTCAAACTTTTTTTAAAAAAAGCTATTTTTATTACATTTTTGAAGTTTTTTGAGAGTTCAAAACTTTTTTTCCAGGTTTCCATACCAATCTTAATGTACTTAAGAATGCAGAAACTTTTAGGAAAAATTTATAAGAATATTTATAAATGAATGGGCACAACACAGAGAGTTTAAATTTTGAATTTAAATTTCAAAATTTAGAGTTTAAATTTTGAATTTTAAATTCAAAATTTAAACACTACACTATAAACCTGCTTGTAATCATTTCAAAATACAAATTATGTTAACTCTGATGAAGAAATACCAAAATAAACCTCAAATAATACCTTGACAAATGTATAAGAGACAGCGTAAAGCCTTTCTTCGTTCTTGTATATTGACAACCTCCATTAACTCCAAGACATAGTTAATAAAGTTCTTTTTTTGTGATTTTTGCATTAGTGCCCAGGCTATGGAATCTTTATTGAAAAAATTAAATTAAAAAAATTAAAAAATAAGAGTGTATGTTTTTGTGTATAGCCTATAGCTAAGAAATTAAACAGCTTGTACAATAATTTAAAGAAATAAAAACAGAAATATGTAAGATAATTTAAAAGAAAAAAAACTTACTATCTTTTGTAAAGGTTTCCAGCAAAGTTTGAAATGCAAAAGCATTTAATTCAAAATCAGGTTCTTCAGAATAGCTGTACAACTCTATATTGAAAAAAAATTTGAAAAGAAAAGATGAGATTTAATGAAACTCCGTGTTTGAAAAATTAACTTTTCAATAAGCACAGTATAAAACAAAAATTTAAGAAAGACTTCTGAAAGTTTACTTTTCTAAATGTTTAAAATAAAATAATTAGTTTCTGAAAATATAAAAAACGTATCCTTATAAATATTAGGATGTTTAAGGCTAATGATAATAAGATAACTAAAAAAAATTATTTTTCAATTTAATGATAGTTACATTTTTTTTTTCAAAATTTAATTTAACTGTTAACTAATATAGAAACTATAATTAATAATAGTTGAATTGACTAGTTCTAAAGGCAATGAGTTCCATAAGTTTGCCGATCTATTAAAAAAGAAATTATGCCTTGGCAGATTTTTTGTTGTTTCCCTATAATATTTAAAACAGTGACCTCTAGCATGATTTTGAATAATTTGTAAGTTATGCTCTGTTATATTTACATTGTTCATTATTTTGAATAGTTGGATCATATCACCTCTTTCTCTTCGTTTAGTTAAAGTTGTCAATTTCAAAAATTTTAATCGATCTTCATAACTGAAACACCTAATTGATTTAATCAGTTTGGTGGCTCGATGCTGCACTTGTTCAATTACTTTACAGTCACCTTTTTGATATGAGGACCATACTGGAACTGAGAATTCTAGAAAAGAACAAATAAAGGTTACATAAAGTGATTTAAGTAAATAACAGTCCAATCTTGCAAATGATTTTTTGATTCGACCTAACATTTTATTTGCATTATTTGTTACAGACATAACTTGATCTTTCCACTTGAGATTTTTATAAAATATTACGCCTAGATCTTTTACGCTGTTTGATTCTGGTAACTTTATGCCATTAATATATAGAGGGTTCTTTTTGTTGTTTACTCCATAGTGCATTACTACGCATTTATCAACATTGAACTTTAAAAGCCAGTTTTCTGTTCATTTAAATGATACATCCAAATCCCTCTGCAGACTTGAGGTACACTTGTCTAAAGTTACCTTGGACAATATCTTGGTATCATCAGCAAATAATTTGGTTTTATTTATTAATTTACTTGGCAGATCATTTATATATATAATAAACATTAACGGTCCAATAACAGAGACCTGTGGCACGCCACTAAATATTTCAACCCACTCAGAAACAAATTCACCAAGAACTATTCTTTGTCTTCTATGACTTAGAAAAGCTTCCATCCATTTTAGAGCTAAGTCATTAATACCATATGCATTCAATTTAGCAAAGAGTCTCTTGTGAGGAACACTATCAAAAGCTTTAGCAAAGTCTAGCATTACTACATCAACAGGTAAACCATTGCTGTTGCACGAGGAAATAGTCAAGAGTTTCTAGCAAATTTGTGGTACAAGATTTGCCTTTTACAAAACCATGCTGTTAAATTGTTAATAAATTGTTTTGGTAAAGATGTTTTGCAATTGTTTCTCTTAGAATAGATTCTAATATTTTACAAGGAATAGAAGTTAATGAAATAGGGCGATAATTGCTGGCCACTGTTTTGTCACCTTTTTTATGTATCGGTGTTACATTTGCTGACTTAAATTGTATTGGTAGTTGACTGGTTCTAAGCGATTCTCTAAATATAAGAGTTAGGGGTAAAGTAAACGATATAGCACAATTCTTGAGGACTATTGAACAAAGTTTATCAGGTCTAGGTGATTTATTGTCTTTTAGTGAGTTAAGTTTAGATAAAACTAACTCAAAGCTAATATCATCTGGTTCAATATCTTCAAACTTATATACATCATTTAATTTGAGATGAAACGGTGGAAGATCTCCTTTTCTTCAATAGTGAAGGCATTCTGAAAATGTTTATTTAGACAGTTCACTATTTTATTTGGTTCATGAGATAAATCACCATTAGGCATTCTTATGGCCTTTATTAGATCTTTTATTGAATTTGTACTGTTTAAATACTTGTATAGAAGTTTAGGATTAAGTTTAGATTTTATAAGAATATTATAGAAACTATAATAATATAAAAACTATACTAATATATATAAATAATACTATATACTATATAATAACCTATAAATAATGACTATTATAGAAATTATACCAATACTATAGAATAATAATAAAGAATAATATAGAAACTATAAAAATGCTAGGTGATTTTCAAACCTTCATTTTAGTTAAAAAACTAGTATCTTCTCATATATTAGAGCATTTTATAAGTAATAAATTTCTACTTGCAGCCTGAGACAAGAATTGAAAAATTATGTCCTAAAGATGTAAAATATGTAAAAAAAATTTTTTAGAAAAACCCCTAAAATCTGTTTGCTGACCTAAAAATTAAAAAAATAATGTTGCTTTGGTGGCAACTTTTGTTAAAAATAGAGAAAAGGTGGTTGAAATTTTAGTGGAACCTAACTAATTTTGCAAATTAGATTTAAATTTTTACTAATGATAAAAAATTTTGAGAAGCATTAAAAATATCTTCTCAAATAATTTTAACACTTACAAAGATGAGCTTCCTTATCAAACAAATTTACTTTATGAGAAGGCATATATTTGCATCTCTACAAAAATAAAATTTCATAAAACAACAGCTTTTTTGAAATAGCAAAGTAGTTAAATAAATATTAAACTCTTGCTAAATATGTAAAAGGATAAAATTTGTTTTTATAAATAAAAATTGGTTGTATAATTAAAAATTCATACAACAATGTATGATATTTTTTAACTTCTGATACTTGATTTTTAAATAGCAGCAGATGCCAAAAAGGCGGATCTCTTACAATATTGCTCCAGTCCTCCGGCCCTCCAGTCAATAAGGCTAAATTTTCAGCATTAATGTTATATGAAATGTTTTTTTCAGCATTAATGTTATATGAAATGTCTATAACTACAATTATTAAACATTAGTTTACTTGTACACATTTTCATAGAGCTTATAAATAATTTTCACCATGTGAACTTTTTTCTTTATTCTCACTACCTAACATAGCTTGTATAACTGCTTTTTAATAGGTATACCAAGCTGATCTTTTTATTGTGGGTATAACAATATTAGGAACTGCTTTCCATTTTTTTATTTCCATTAAAATATTTCATTATCATTTACAGTAAAATCAAATTTATTTGCACTATTTATTACTAAATCCACAAAAATAAAATACAGTTAGTTTCTGGTCAATCATAGTATTTTTGGTTTAAAGATTTTATAAGCAGAACATGTTTTTAACATATCTCATCAAGATAAGTTTTTAATTTGCTGTAATAAACATTTTTTTTAAGTGATCTTGACCACTTGTTTTCACACTTTGTCAGGTCATCTAAGCCCAGTATTTACATTTGTTTTATCCCCTCAGCTTTTAATTGCTTTCCTTAATTAATTAATATGTTATTATTGTTATTAATTACTTTATATTTTTTTATAATTTATACTTTACTATATATATTTATACTTTATAATTTTTTTATAAACGAATACTATACAAAATGTTGATAAAGTAATTTTTTTTAAAACATCTCTATATCAATATTTCATTTTTCAAGTCACTGAGTCATACTTTTTATGCCTTCTTGGATTATTGTTTACTATCAACCTCTCATGGAAACAAAATATACAATCGATTGCTAAGTTAGCGTCTTAAGGTTGCTTTTCTTTATTGTTTTTCCATTTTCTTACTCCTGATTCCATTCTCTACCTTTACAAATCTTTTGTTCGCCCCTGCATAGAATATTATTGTCATATTTGAGCTGATTTTTTTAAATATTGCAAACGTAGTTTTTTTTTTGTTTTTAATTTTGTTATTCACCTCCTCAAGGCCGAGAAGACCACTACAGACGAGGAGGCTACTTAATAGTGCTTATAACCCTCTCTTAACTCTATAACTCCGAAAGACAAACCTTGACAAACAAGGCCGCTGCGGGGAGAAACAGGTTGAGCACGGTACTACCAGGGACGTGGTGGGGATCAAACTCGGAACCTCTCGCTTATGAAGCGAGTGTTTTACCACTACACCACTGTCGCATTTTACCGAGTGTTTTACCACTACACCACTACCGCAGTTAGACCTAACTACATTTGCAATATTTAACCTATTAGGTTTAACCTATTAGATCTAACTGCCAAGTTTGAGCTTCTTTCCCATTATCGTAAGGTAGTGTCTCTTTCTCTTTTCTACAAATATTATCATGGTCACTGCTCAAAGAAGCTATCATCTCTAATTTTATCAGTCAAAATTCATTCTTGTTTTACTTGTCATTCACCAAAGTCTTATTCTTTTACTGTATTTGTCCCTGCATGCTCTAAAAACTTTTATTTTTCTAGTTTTTTTCAACCCTTCGGAACTCTTCCCATCTTCATGTTTTCCTGACTCATACAACCTACAACTTTTCAAGTCTTCTGTTAACTGTTTTATTGCTCTTTAACTATATTCTTTGTTTTCTAGTAACTCACACCTGTTAGTAGTTGTTTGCAGCTGTGTTAAAATGAATAAAAAATAGAACAATGGTTTAAAACTATTAAATATATTCATAATAAAATGTCGCTTGTTTACATACTTATGTCTAACAAAGTAGCAATTTTTCCTATAAAAGTTTGTCAAGCTTTTTAATGAACCTATCTTTTATTAATTTTTAACAGGTATAAAGCATCAAAAAAAAAAAAATTTAATGTTCCAAAAGGCTAAAAAACTAATCTACTCATAAGTTCAAAATAAATTTCTTCCACTTTAGTTGCTTTTAAAACAGAAATACAAAAACTACTTCATTATTTTTAATATTTTTTAAAAACAACACATTTAAGAAAAATAAAAATGTAGTCACTGCTTAGTTAAAATCTTTTTTATAGACAACACTCCATTTCATAAAAAAATCTTCCTATTACTTTACTACGTAATATATATTTTTAAATCTTTGATTTTGGTCTTAAAACCAACACAGCCTAATATATAGTTTGGCTGTAAATATACAAAATAGTTTGACGGTAAATGTACAGGTCTGGAACCGAAACCATTCTGAATAAGATGACAGTGTAGTTTGCTTATATCCAAAAATATTGAGAAATTTAAGTCTAAAAACATTTTTCTTTTGAGACTTGAACTTTGCATTGAAGTCTCTTGATTGTATATCAATGTAGTTTTTTATTTATTTATCTTTCAAACTTTTATTGGAATTAAAATTACACCTAAACAGTAAAAGTAATTTAATGAAAAAAATACTTGTTAAAAATAAATTTATTTGTTTAAATTTAAAATAAGTATATTTGAATTGCTAATGAAGTAATCAAACAAACAAAAGAAACCACCTGCTAATTCGTTTTCAAGTGTATCAGCATCATTATAATGAAAATCTAATATCGGTGAATCATTTTGATTGGACTAAAAAAATTACATAAGTATTAGATAAAATTACTTTAAACATTTAGTTATTTATGCACTTATCTTTTGATTGTTATTTTCATTTATTATTGCATAAAAAAAAAATTATTATCATTAATCATTTAAAAACATTGGTTAACATAAAAAAATCAACCAATCATCATTTAAACATATTTAAAACAAAAATACATTCAAAATGATGTGATAACAACAATAAGTATTTCAATATATGATAATAATAAACAAAATCAAAATAAACAACTTAGTTGTTTAAAAAAAGTAAAAAATAAAAAAAATCTATTCACAATATTAATAAAATCAAAAGATAATAATTAAATAATAAACAAATAAAAATAGGAAACATATTTAAGCATTTAACATAGTTTAGTATTTTTCATTCAAGAGATTTTTAATTACAAGTGACATATTCCAATATATATATATATATATATATATATATATATATATATATATATATATATATATATATATATATATATATATAAAATTTCGTTATGTAATATTTATATGGTCAGATATCAACTACTTAACTATTGAATACTATTTACTATTTAAATAAAATATTGGACATATATTATATACATCTTTACCAGATCAAAGAACCATGGTTTTATATTATCAAATGTATTCATAATAAAATTTTACATCAATTATATCTAACAAAAAAGCAATTTTTGATAAAAAAATTTTTAATATTTTTGAATACTTTTTTATTTTTTTATTTTCTTTATGTACATTGTAAGCATAAAAATATAATATAAAAACTATATTGCTATAAAATATATATTGCTATAAAATATATATATATATATATATATATATATATATATATATATATATATATATATATATATATATATATATATATATTAAACGTTAGATAATAAACCTTTTTTTTTTTATGGATATAGTGCCTACAAAATCTTTTTAAGTGCATGAACTAAAGCATTTCTGTTTAGGAAAGCAAAATCAGAAAATAAATGCAGCATCTTCTGGAATTCAATCAAAAATTAGATTTGAGAGCTAAGATGACAAGCAAAAGCGCCAATTGTTCTCAGACAATCAGATTACCTGATCACAATTGGGTAAAAATTTCTCAAAAAACAAGGGTTGCACCCTGCATCACCAAATTCGCTGAAATTTGGCACAAATATTTAAAGATATAAGTTAGGAAAGAATGTTGCTTAGCTAAAACTTGGTACCGAAGGAGTTTAAAACCTGCTGAATCTGAAAATCATAAACTTATATCTCTCAAAACAATAAAATATAGTTTATTTTTAGATCCACAAAACGCACTTGTTAATGAGAATAAAAAAGGACATTGACAACTATAGTTCTAAAAAAAATCTGACTGATGAAAAAAAGTTTTGGCTTTCGTTATTTTAAATATTAAACATATATCTACTTTGCAAACCATTTTTTATTTGGCTTTATGTTTTATCAAGGAGTTATTGATGTTTTAGTTTTTCAATTTTTCTAAAGATATTTTGCAAAAAAAAAAAATTTGCAAATATATTTTGAATACAAATACAACTATTTTTGTTATGTAAAATCTTTGTAAAAAATTTACAAAGTTATTACAAAACATAATTGAACATTTTATAAATTTGTTTCTTTTTACTTTCATTACATAATAATAATGTCATTTTCATTACATAATATCATGTCTTTAAATTTAACAATATTATGTAACTTTTGTTGTTGATTGTTTTGTTGTAATAAAACATTTATTATCATCAATAAAAAAAGTAATAAAATGATATAATAATGTCTAATTAACATTACCATGTTAAGTTACATAACTAAATAAAATTATATTTAGTTATCTTTTACTTTTACACAACTTTTTGTAAGTAGTTAATGGAGAATTTACAATAATTAGTAGATAGTTAGGCATTTAAATTATGTCTATTAAACTAATAGCTACTTGTTCAAGCAATATGTTCTTTATAAATACATATTGATATGATATTGTTTGTGTTCAAGTGTACTTTTCTTGTTAGGGGCATTAAGATTATTTAAGATTTCTTGTATTAAGTGTTTAGGCAGAGATTCCTCATTATATTTTTATATGGATAACAAAATTAATTGCTGCTTTGTAAATAATTATGGAGCTTGTTATAAACAATCATATACTCAAGAAAGAAATCTGATTGAAGATATTGACAGCAATGATCGTAAGCTACTTGAAAAACGAACAAATCTGAAACAAGAACAAATTACTAATATATGCACACACCATCATGATATGTTAGTTGTAAGATATGAGGGTAATCAGAAAAGTTGCTGTAATCCATTTCTGAGTCACCAAAAGGTGTGTAAAGGTAAAAATTTATATATTTATATTTCATTAGGTAATATCATTATTAATAAGTCATATAAGTTTTTTTAGTAATAAATTTTGTTCAATGTTTTATAGTTATTAATATAACAAATTGTATAGTAATATAATTACATAATATATATAATTAATGTTATTTAAGTAATGTAATTACTTTCTTTTTAAGCATCTCTACGTCTGATTACAATGCATACTGTGTTAGAAGCAGAAACCATAGGTTTAAATCTTATACCTGGAAAAAACTGTGTCCAACCTGTCGAAGTAAAGTTATGACATGTTTATCAAAAAGTATAAATGAAAATAAAAATGATGAAGATTTTGATATTGTTTATTAATGAAAGATCCATTCAAAATAAAAAGGATTGCACAAGTCAGGTAAAATCAGAGAAGGTAAACAAAAATTGATAGCATTAATAACCTCCATTAAAAAAAAGGTACCATTTCCCTTAATATATCAGAGAGTTTTGAAGAACAGCCAAGTTTTAATAATGAGTATATGGAAAAAGCAAACTTGTTTGATAACATGATGGTATTGTTAACTTACAAAATTGCAGAGTCTACATCAAAAACAACTTGCGACACTTGCTCCAACAGACTGGTCAATAAAAAAGGTATCTAAAACATTGCATGTAACAAACTATGTAGCTCGAACTGCACATAAGTTAACATTAGAAAAAGGTATTTTAACCATGCCTAATCCTAAAAGGAAAAGCTCTTCCTGATGTAACAGTTCAACTGGTCAAGACCTTTAACAAAGACAATGAACATAGTTGTATAATGCCTGGTAAAAAGTACTATGTAAGCACAAAGAAAAATGTCCACATGCAAAAACGTTTGCTCTTATGTAATTTAAAGGAATTGTTTGTTGCCTTTAAAACCAAGAACCCAGAAATAAAAATAGGATTTTCAAGGTTTTGCACCTTGCGACCTAAATGGTGTATTACTGTTGGTGCCTCAGGAACACATTCTGTATGCGTCTGTGCTATTCATCAGAATTTGAAACTGCTTTTACATTCTCTTGGTGTGACATACAAAGAATTGTTACCTTATATTGTCTGTGATATAACTAATAAAGACTGTATGATGAGGAAATGTGAAAAATGCCCAGCAACTATGAATGCATTGGTTGAAAAACTTTATGATATACTTGGAGAATTTGAAGATGATGATGAGATTGAATTTGATCAATGGACAACAACAGATAGGTCAAACTTGACACATAATAAAGAGCCAGTGTTTGAATACATTGTTTGAATATATGTAGAAAACTGGAAAAACTTTTACCACATTCCTATTTAGCAAAGAGTCAAGCATTATACCTTCCATTCAAACATTCAAAAAGATATGAATGAGGTAACAGCATTATTTCTGGGTGATTTTTCAGAAAACTATAAATTTGTAGTTCACGATGAAGTGCAAAGCTTTCATTGGACAAATTTACAATGTACACTTCATCCAGTGATTATTTATTTCAAAAAAGAAGGCATTCTCAAGCACAAATCCTATTGTATTATTTCGGATGATATGATCCATGATGTGAACATGGTTTATAAAATTATTGAGGTTGTTTGCAATGATATAAAAACAAATTTGCCTCAAATAAAAAATATTGAATACTTTTCAGATGGGTGTGCAGGTCAATATAAGAATAGCAAAAATATGTTAAACCTTTGTTTCCATTGTGAAGATTTTGATTTAACTGCTAAATGGAACTTTTTTGCAACTAGTCATGGTAAGCAACCTTGTGATGGGATAGGTGGTACAGTCAAACGTCTGGCAACACTAGCAAGTTTGCAAAGAGATATGGGTAATCATATTTTATCTCTACAAATAATGTATAAATATTGCAATGAAAATATTGAAGGCATAAATTTCATATATATTTCATCAAAAGATTTAACTTTGGTGAGAACTGCTCTTAAAGAACGATTGGATACTGCTAATACAATACCTGGAACACATAGTTACCATCAGTTTGTACCAATTGGCCATCAAAAGGTAAATTATTATTTTTTAATTATACCTTTTACCATATTTTAAAATGCACGCATAACTTTTATTGATAAACTCAAATGGATATTAGATTTTTGCAGAATCATTATCAAAAATATTTGTATTTTGTTTTATTTCCTCTGCATTTGCTATCTATGCATTTAATAAAACATGTTTGATAAGTAAAACAAAATAATTGCATATGTTTCTATTTTGTTTGGGTAGGCACTATGCTTTGCAGTGTTGATGAAGAATTTGCTTTAATTCATGACTTTGGAAATATCCAGATAACAACTATAAACCTAGTACTAGGTGATTATGCCTGTGTTTCCTATGAGCAAAAGTGGTGGATAAGAGTCATTGAAGATATTAATTTAGAAGAAAAAGATGTGCTTGTAAAATTTATGTGTCCTAATGGTCCTGCAGGGTCGTTTAAATGGCCACCAAACGAAAGCCAATGCTGGATTCCTGATGTCCACATTATTTGCAAAGTTGAGGTACCGATAACAAAACAGGACTTTGCTACTATTTAGCCAAAGAGGACTTAAAAAAAATTATTTTCCTAAGGAAGTAGAGATTTTTATATTTATGAGTCTATTATGTCTTATCCATTCTTTTTTTAAATATTATGTTTTGTGAACCAACTTGTAAATAATGTGAATGTAAAGCATATATAAAATCACTAAAGTTAAGTATTTTTTTAAAAAAATTTATATACGTTTAGATTTTGTTGTAAATATCATATGACAATGAAAAGGAAATAAAGTCACTAAATTTTTAGTTTCTAATTTGATTGATTGGTAAAAGGTGGGGTTATATTAAGTGTGTAATTTAAAAAATATTAAAAAATTGTGTGTCTATATCAAACATCAATAATTCCTCAAGTAAATATAAGGCCAAAACAAAATTGGTTCGAAAAGTAGGTGTTGATCTTATTTTTAAGAAAATCAAAATTAATTTTTTTTTATATCAGTCAGATTTTTTTTATAGCTATAATAGTCAATGCCCTTTTTTCTCGGCGTTATAAAGTGTATTTTATGGATCTTAAAATAAGCTACATTCCCTTGTTTTGACATATAAAAAACTATATTTTTTGGATTTAACAAAGTTTCAGAATTGTGGCATCACTACAAGCACCATATTAAGGTGAAAGTAAACAGAATGATTTTCAGCACTTTTTCCCCCTTAGTTTTTAGTCAAAATCAAGGAAACTTCAAATTGCTGTAAATTATAAACCGTAACGAATTTTATGAAAAAAAATTTAAATCTTTTTTAACATATGTCTATAAACATTTGTGCCAAGTTTCAAAAATTTTGGTGATATAGGGTGCAGATTTGTGTTTTTTTGTGTTTTTTGAGAAAATTTTACCCAAATTTGTCATTGTTCCACGCTATAAATATTCACCATCAGTTAATGTTGGGTTAAAATCGACACATAAAAGTGCATTTAATTTATTTCAGAATTAATTTTTAACTTAAATAATCTTTTCTAATCTCTAGCTTGACTAGAGATTAGAAAAGATAAAAATTCTACTTGACTAACACTGTCCTAGTATCAAAACAACTTATAGAATGCGCAAAATTAGCAACATTTATTTTGTACCACTAACTTAGCTTAACAATTACATAAAAATTCATCCAAATGTGAAAAAGACTTTGAAATCTAGAAGCCAAAGTAAAGAAAAATATTTCAAGTGAAGAAAATCAAGATAGACAATAGAGGCTTTGAAACAGTAGAATGGATAGACAAAAATATTTAAAAAAGGAGTAAAATCAAACTCATTTTTTTTTTTAAATAGAAGTGCTAGATTTTAAACAAGAATGGTCATTCAAACTTCAATTCAAAAATCTTGTATTTTTTTACCAAAAAACAAGTTCAGTTGTGACATGACAAAAGTGTATAGTTGGGTTGATATTTTTATGACATTTTGTGACAAAGGGGGACAGAGAAAAGAATTTTAAAAAGTAGTTTTTAGAGATGCAAAGTCAGAGTTGAGATTTAATTTTTTATAAAATAAACACTTTTTTTAAATATAAATACTTTGTATAATTAAATTTTTTTTTTTTAACATCTTCGCTTCCAACAAGGCTGCAAGCGACCGCTATAAGAGTTGGAAGTTACTGGAAGAGAAAAGATAAAGATTATAGAGCAAGATAACAATTAACAGACAACTTAAAAGATTGCAAATATATGAATCAGGAAAGCAAGATGAAGGAATCAAATTCCAAAGAACTGATGCTTGAGGATAAAATTAGAGGAATAAGAGTATTTAGAGCATTTAGGAACAGTCACAGAAAAAGGAAGAGACTTAATTGAATGAAGAGTAACACAAAAACAAATTTTAGTAGAGAGGGTAGTGGTGTAGTGGTAAGAGCGCTCACTTTGTAAGCGAGAGGTTCGGAGTTCGACTCCCACCACGTCCCTGGAAGTACCGCGCTCAACTTAATTTCTCATGCAGCGGTCTTGCTTGTCAAGGTTCGTGTTTTGGAGTTAAAGATTTGAGAGAGGGTTGTACCACGATTTACAACAAAAAAAAAATAATAAAAAATAAAAACAAAAAAAAAAATGAGTAGCCTCCTCGACTGTAGTGGCCCCCTTGGGCCTTGGGGAGGTGAATAATTGGAAAAAAAAAAAAAAAAAGATGGCTCAAGAGACGCTAGCTCTTAAGAGCTAATTTTTAAAATATTTTTTTCATCTATATAACTTTAGATCAGTGAATGCACAAGCTTACTAAATTATACTGCATATAGCAAACACTGCTCCATTAAAAAAAGTTTTTTTGTCAAACAGATAAGCAGATATTTTTTTTACAAACATGAACTACTCTTTTTTTAGATTATTTTATGTTAAAAAAAAATTTAATTAATTTTATGATTTTGAAAAATTACAGTTTTTGAATTGTTGCTGAAATTTTTAAACCTATTTAATTAGTTAAAAAAAAATTTTTTATTCCAAATGCCAAATTTCATTATAAAAGCATTATGATGCAGATACTTAATATTTTGTCACAAAATAGGTAATTAACATAATTTAGGTTTTTCTACTTTTAATGAAACATTTAGATACTAGAGTGCATTAAACTATCTACACTGTATCTCTAACTCTAAGATTCATCTTATCTATTTGGTAGTGGTATGGAATAAAACTATAACAATTTTTCTGAATATAAAAATTACCAATTTTAAAAAGAAAAAAAAAAACACTCTTCTATAAAAAAAAAAAAGTATTTTTATACAATAAAGGTGGTGATTGTTAAGTGCTTTCACTCTAACCCTTTATACGCCCAGTAATATATAAAAGCCAATATAAATTTGTACACCGCTAGTTCAACTATCTTATGACAGAAAAGTTGAAAAACCGAAATCAAAACAAAAAATTTTCAACAAATTCATATTTTCAAAATTTTTTTTAAATGTAATAAGTTTTTAAAAAACTGATTCATTTTGATATTTTTCCAGCTTTAAAATAATGTATTTAAGCTCATTTAAATGATGTAAAACAATCTAATATTTTATGAATTTAAAATATGGAGCAAAAAAAAACTTAAATCAGTAGGGGTTATTACTTCAACAAGATAATTTGTAAAAATAATTATTACCTCAGAGTCTCGTCTTTGTCTACGCATAATTTCTCTAAGCCTTGGGACACCTCTCTTGCTTTCTTCTTGCGTGAGATACTTTTCTTGATCATTTCCAATTCCTATTTCAAATCCATTTGAAAAATTTGTTCTAGTTGAATCCGTCATTGTTGATATTACATTTCAAGTTTATAAAGTATATTTTGTCTTCATTTTACTTATTACTATTTCTCACTTGTTTACGTTTTGTCTAATTTTAAACGTACATTTGCGTCCGATTGTACCGTATAGGTTATTACCTTTCAGTTAGCAAATAAATATAGCTACAATCCAATCAGCAAATGTAACCGAAAGAATTATTCAATTTCAATCAAACTCCAGAGCTCTTATAAAATCTGGAATTCGTTTTTGTCAACCATTTACTATAGTGCATTTGTTCAAATCTCTGGCTATACACAATCTATCGTACGGATTAGAAATTTGTGATAATAACAATACTTTTCTTAATAAATTAGACGCTGTTGGAAGATCAGTATTAAAATAATCTATAACAGATTGTATGAGTATTTAATCCAAAATAGAATCCTAAATAAAAAGCAATTTGGTTTCCGAAAACAATATTTAACTGAACACGCAATCCTAGATCTAGTTAACAACATAAGTGATTCTTTTGACAAAAAACAGTATGTTCTTGGCATCTTTATAGACCTGTCGAAGGCGTTTGATACTGTAAATCACAATATCTTACTTAAAAAAATGGAAAGCTATGGGAAAAAAAGCATAACCCTTGACTGGTTCAAAAACTATCTAAGTAACAGACAACAATGTGTCTTTTCAGATAATTATAAACACTCAAAACTACTATAAGTTGAGTGCGGTATCCCCCAAGGTTCCATTCTTGGACCTCTTCTGTTTCTTCTATATATTAATGACCTTACAAAAGCCTCGGAAAATCTTGATGTAATTATGTTTGTCGAATATACAAACTTATTTTATTCATCGAACTCAGTCAAAGACCTTTTTGAATGTATGAACAAAGAGCTTAAAAGATTAAATTTATGGTTGAAATTAAATAAGCTATCACTAAATACACAAAAAACAAAATACATATTGTTTCATTCCAAAAAACAAAAAAATAATATACCAACTACCCTTTCCCCTCGCTAAAAATAGATAAGGTAAATATTGAAAGAACAGAAACAACTAAATTTCTTGGGATATTAATTGATAAAAATATATCTTGGAGAGTCCATATAAGTTCAATTAATACCAAAATTTCAAAAATTTTGGTATACTCTACAAAGTTAAACCTATGTTATCCCAACATAACCTTAAATCGCTTTATTTTTCTTACATCCAAAGTTATCTTACATACGCTAATATTACATGGGCAAGTACACACAAATCCAAATTGAGTACTATTTACATAAGTCAAAAACATGCATCAAGATTAGTTTATAATAAAGATAAACTGACCCATGCTGAACCCTTACTAAAAACTTTGAATGCACTAAATGTTTGCCAAACCAACATCTACCAAAATGTTCTATTTATGCTTAAATACAAACTTGGACGAGTCCCATCGCATTTCTTAGATAACTTCTTTCAAGTAAACTCTAATAGGTATATGACAAGAGCAACAGGCAACTTTACACTGCCCAAAAGAACAACAAAGTTCTCACGGTTTTCTATTTCCTACCGGAGTCCGTACCTATATAACAAAATCATATCCAAAAATATAGAACTTAAAGTATTAAATAATGCTGCCAACTTGAAAAATAAATTAAAACACCTCATACTTAATACCAACAATTATATCGACATGTAATAAACTTAACATTAAAATTTATATTAAAATATTTATGTGTATCACTGATTGCATATTGTTTAACCACTTTTGACTATATATAAAAATAAAATAGACTTTATTTAACCTTTTAAAGAGGCACACGATGATAAGTCTTCATAGACTTCTACAAGTTTTCCTTTACAACAACATGTATATATCTGAAGTACCAAAAAAATTTCTTGTCTTTTTTTTTCCTTTTCTTATTTTTATTCTTTTATTTTTTAAAAATACTGGTAACATTTATGATAAGAAACACTATTAATTTACGCTATACTTAGATATACTTGTTAAACCAATTTTTATTATGCTATGTTATACGTGGTATTATTATCTTATAATTTTACGTGAGATTATATTATGTCATGTAGTTATAACGCAACAATGTGTAAATTTATTAAAGTTGTAAAAAATAAAAAAATAAAAAATAAATAAAGATTTGTCGTTCGCTTGTCGCTAGCTCATTTCCCACGGGGAAATAAGCTAGCGACTAGCGAGCGCCTAGTTACCTTTATAGCAACTTTCAAGCGAATTTTTTGTTTCTTTCTTTATATTTTTCTTTATATTACATCTTTAAAAATTCGATATTTAGTGTTGAGTCTATTATAATTATGAAATTAATTAAACTTAAAAAATTGCGATTTTGTTGCAATGTGTCGCTAGCTACATGAGCAGCCGTGGCGCAGTGGTCTGGCTCAGAACCCAGAGGTCCGAAGATCGACGCCAGCTCTAGCCCAACAAGCGACATTAGTACGGAAGGAGGCGTGAACTTCCTGTTAAATGCTCTCCCGCGGTGCTATGATAAGACCGTAAGGACTTATGGGAGCACCTAAATACATACAAAAATAGCTACATATCGTAACTTAACAGCTAGCAACAAAGTATCTACAAATCTATAACTGGTTGATAGGTAAAGGAAAGTGGGGCAGCATAGCAAACTTTTTGAAAGCCCTGAGTTATTGCAAAACTATCAGTCGTAAAGCAATAATTTTCAGTTTGCAAATATAGCAATTTGAGATCAATTAAAAACTAAAAGGACACCATCCATTATGAGAAACCGAAAGTGAGGAATTTTTTTTAAGCGCAAAAAGAAAACTTTTGCGTTTAAAATTGCGTTTATAATATTTAAAAAAATTGGTGTTTTAAAATACATGATGCAAATACAGTTTAAGATTTTTTGTTGAGTTGTTATATTTATTATTATTTTTTTTTTTTTGAATGTATTTAGGTGCTCCCAGAAGTCCTTACGGTCTTATCATAGAGCACCGCGGGAGAGCATTCTACAGGAAGTTCACGCCTCCTTCCGTACCAATGTCGCTTGTTGGGCTAGAGCTGGCGTCGAACCTGGGACCTCTGGGTTCTGAGCCAGAACTCTAACCACTGCGCCACGGCTGCTCAAATATGAAAACCCATCTTGCACCATTCGCCATGTTGCCCCGCTTTACCTACATATCAATACTTTTTAGACAGCGATTTTATAACGAGACGACGCTAGCTACAATTGCCAATGGGTCTTTAACTTATTAAGCTTGCTATCTTCGTAGCCAAATCGCTGTCTTTATCTTTACAAATATCGATAGCTTTTTGCTAACTTAAAAAAGACTGACTGTCTAATTTTACCAACTAATTTGTTGAAAAGGTCTACATTTGCCGATTACCAAGTCAAAAAGGGTCATATTTGCTGACTAAATGAACGAAAATATCATTGATGGGGGTGTCATACCCCCCACCACCACATACACACACACACCTATCGCGCCGGCCTTGCTCTTTGGTAATGATCTACGGAAATTTTTTTTAAATAAATTTGTTTTTTACTTGCTCAAAATAGTTACATCACTGAGTGACAACGATTTGTTACTCTGTGACGCACTTACTTTTTAACCATAACTCATTGAAATAATTTGGGAATCTCCACAATTTTTTTAATAGAAATTTTGTATTTTCCTTTGTAAGAGCAAAGAAAACGCTAAAAAATTTCAATTGCACGTAAAGTTCATGATACCTGAGTTTATTAATAATCAGACTGGCTAAAATATCCAGATGTACTTTTAAGTTAATTTTTATTTTTGAGATTAATTAAAAATATACTTATTTACAATATGCACATATAGTAAAATATATACTTTAATTTAATCTGAAAAATCAAAAAACCTTGGTTAACCAATACTTTTTAGTTTAGGCTTTACTAACGTTAGTAGATCAAATAAAATTTGATTTAATTTATAATTGAAAAGTTTACCTATTTTTTAAAATATTTTATAGTATAAAAACGATGTCTTTAGGAAAATGTAAGTCAATACAAAAATATTTTAAGGGAGATTTTTTTTTGTCAGTATTTTTGGTAATTAATTGTATTTTTACATTAAGTTACAAAGACATTTTTACATTAAGTTACAAAGTTAAACATGTATTAAGTTTAACTGTCTAAATCAGTTGTTTTTATACATTAATTTAGATTTAATTATTCATTTTTAGTTATTATTTTTCTTTGTAATTTTAGCTACTTATTTTTATTATTGTAACTATATCAACACATCTAAAATTTAAGTTCAGTATTGTGCACGTAAGTGTCACTTTTTCACTTTTCACTTTTAAAAAGCTTAGTTAAACTGTAATCATTATCCTAATATGAATAACCTGTCTGGCTTTAACAATTCTGAAAATATTATTTCAGTTGAATCATTTTATTTAAAAAAAAACACACACACACAAAAAAAAAAATTATTAGACAAAACAGAAAAGTCGTTATATTTTAATTGCTATATTATTTTTATTACTTTTCTGTACTCATTTTGTAAGTTTTATTTATTTATTTTTATTATTTTTTTATTTCTATTTTTAACGTAAACATTTATCGACTGATTTTTTAGGGATGAACATAACGGAGTGAATGCACTCAACGATTGAGGGTTTTGGTCAAGGCAAATACCGTTTGGCCAAGGCAAGTACCGCAAATACCGTTCTTAATCAAGTTTTTATTTATATTTCTGGTTTAATGATTTTGAAAAAATTAATTTTACTAAAAACAGCGTGCTAAATGTCATTTGGAAAGATCGTCACAGTCATTCCATATGACGTTTGCTAATGAATGCATTTGGTTTTATTAGGAATGCTGGTAACGCTTATACTTTCTTTACAAAATCATGATGTCATTATATCCAAGGGCTTATCCTACTTTAAAAGATTTTTTACAGTACCTTTTGATTGAAAAACATGGTTGTAACTTATATTAATTCTTATTAATACATTATAACTTATAAATTACTAGGTAAAACAACAGTTTACGGTGAAACAACAAGATAACCAACAAGATAAACAACAAAAGATAACCAATAAGATAAACAACAAAAGCAATGAGATTATTTTTTTCGAACTATTACACGCAAAAGCGTTTCGGAATCAAAACCTATGAGTTTATAGATTGATTTAGGATATTTTTGGGTTTATGACTGATAATAACGTTAGTGATTTATTTTTTAAATATAATACAAAGTTAATAAAGTCTTTTACAAGTCACGTGTTGTTACGAGTTGACATAAATTTTTAATTGCGGAAATAACTCATAATAAACAAAGTAATAATTAGAACTTAACTACATTATAATTGCCAAAATCTGTTGTAGCTAATTTTACAACACAATTTTAGAAAAGTTTCATCTTCTAAACAAAAGCTGCATGAGAAATAAGTTTCAAGGTAATTTTTAATGTGTGCAGTATATCTTTTATTATCGATTTGTTTATTTTTTATTTTTGTATTTTAAATTTGTATAAAAAAACTTTTAATAAGTCAAAACACTTATTATTATTATATTTATCATATTATAATTATCAGTGTCTAATAAAGGTTTATAAAGGTTATTTTCTCACAACATAGCTGAATTTTACAAAAAAACTGGTTTTACAAAAAAAAAAATTGATACAATCAGTTTTTTTTACAGTTCAAGCATTCTGAACATTTATGAAACTTTAAAGGGGTTCTGAATGTAATTGTATTTAGAAATAGAATTAATACGGTACATCTACAATGAGATATTGAAACATCGTTGTAGGTTCCGAAAACAGAAACATCTTTAAATCAAAATAAAAAACTCAAATATTTTGGGTTTTAAAACATTTGTATATTTTTATATTTTTATATTTATTATTATTTGTAACGTTATTCTATAACGGCCAACAATTATTTTTATCAGTATTTTGTGCGCGCGGTACAAATACATTCTCTGTAGGTTTTTTTTTGAAATACACATTTAAATTCAGACGCTCAATAACAGAAATAAAAAGAGTAGTACAAAATGTTTTTGCTTTCCTTCATACGTAAATATTGCCTAAGTAGATGTATCCTCTACGTTCAACTTTTTTCTCTACGAAGCGGTGGTTGAGGTTCGTCTTCCAAACTTTAAAGTTGAAAGAGGATTAATAGTTAAAATAGTAAAAATAATTAAAACACTGAGTAATTTCCTTACTGTAGTGAGCCTTCTAAAGGCTAATGGAAGTGAACTCAATAAAAATAATAATAAGAGCCTCCACCAATAAACTGAAAACAATTAAAGAATGCTTACGAGTGATGTAAAAAATCTAGAGGAATAACTATTAATTGACTGAAATGATCAATAAATAAAATCAGGAATGTACTTTTTGTTTAATTAGTACACAATCCTAATGTTTTCTCTTTGTGCACTAAAACATTGAAAAAGTTTGTCACAAACTGGGATTTATTAACTTTAAAAAAAAAAAAAAATACGAGTTTCAAATTGTAATACATACACTCTTTTTTTATGTATTGTTGTTATTTTGTGTAACTTATTTCAAACAAAAGTTTGAGGAAAGAACACCTTTTTCTCTTAAATTTTTTTTTATAGCAATTTAAAACATTAGTTAAAAATAAAAAGATAGAAAAATAATTATATAAAAAAATAAAAAATTCAAATTTTTGTAAAAATCAAAAATTAACTTGAACAGCCGTGACGCAGTGGTTAGAGAGCTTACTTTAGGATCAAGAGATCTGATGCTTACTCGGTAAATAAATCTTGAACTTCCTAGTTAAATTCTTTTTCGCGATTTTCTGTGAAAAGACCGTTAGGTTTTCTCGGAACCAGATATAAAATGATTAGATCTCAAATCATAAATCAAAATATTTAGACGCTTGTTTATTTTTGTTGTTTGTATATTCTTTTATTTAAGTTATTTATCTACGTTATCTTTATCTATGTTCTTTTACATGTTCCTTGAACAAAATTAATATTAAGAATAATTATATTGTGTGGCTTAAATTGCTTTATAAATTTTTGTTATGTAAGAGTTAAAAAAGTTTCAAAAAACACAAAAATTTGCACTCTACATCATTAAATTTGCTGAAATTTGGCACACATATTTAAAAACAACTTTGAAAAACAAATAGAAATAATATGAAAAATTTTTTTTTCATATTATTTCTATTTTTTTGAGTTACGAAAACTTGAAGTTTGTTTCATTTTGACTTAAAAATGAGAGGAGATAATGAAAATGTTTCTGTTTGTTTGTTCTGCCTTTATGTTGTTTCTGTTACTAAGGTACTTCTATTGTAATGCTAGCTGCAATGGTAAAACTTTTTTTTTCTTATTTTGTTTTTCTTTAATATTCTTTCATATATATTTGTATTTATTTTTTCATATTTTAAAAACACTCATTAATTTATTTTAACCTTTTATGAATTTTTTTTTTAAACCATTAAATAGTTTAAAATATATTATTAATACTTTTTTCTTTTTTTTTTTTACTCTATATTAATTTTGCAAATAGTAAAGATGATTTTTTTATGTATTTAATTATGTCTTTAAGTCGCAAGTTAAATACATTTTAAACAATATGATAATTATATGATAGTAGACTTTCTGGTCAAACTCCTATTCGACATTGAGTTCCTCATATTTGCATATCAAATTTACAGGGGATAGACAAACTGGCATATGTAGGGTTAGACGCAGCGGAGTTTACATACATCAACTGATTTAAATAGGGATAGACGCTGTGAGTATACATACATTGACTATAGATTTGAGTTTGGACAGCCTTGCAAATGAGAGAGTATTATTTTTGCGTTTACGGACGTGAAGATTATTGTTAGATAAACTACACTATTATTTAATCTCTTTAAAAATGACCACAGGAGCTGGTTTTATATGTATGGAGGGGAACATTGTATGTATAGAGGGGGACATTGTATGTATAGAGGGGGACAAGGTGTTGAGCTTTTTTAGTCAGGCGCTTTTCGTCTTTTTTTTTTTTTTGGGCCAGTAAATTGCAGTTTTGCAAATTAAAGCAATATGTACTAGGACTCCTTTATCGAGACATTAATAAATTTATTCTGCTATAATCTTTAGAAGTTAAACTGCTATTTACTACTAAGCATTATCCTCTGCATCTATGAATAAAACTATTTACAGCTGAGTTAGTGTTTCCATCAGACTTTATAAAGATATTTTTAATATTTTTCGTAATGCATTAATCTTTTTCACCGTTAAATTAGTCATTACCACTAATGGTCAACAATGTGTTAAATTAAATTTAACGTCAAAATAACAATAGAAATAATCAGGTTTTTATGTAGTTTTCTCATAAATAAACCATTTGTTATAAAAAACATTTTAACTACGGATAAACAGCTATGTAATTCATTAGTCAAATTATTACACATCTACTAAAGTCAAAAACAAAAAATTTATAAAAACAGTTAATATTTTAAAACTATGTAATGTTATGAAATTTAAAATAGCAAAAATTTATGCTGATCTATTTAACTGTTTAAAAAATTTACTCTATTATATTTTATAACAAAGATTTTTATGTTTAAAAAATTTTCGGTAAGGACAGGCGCAGAGTGACTCAGTACGATCGAAAAACGGCAGTTAAATAGAAATTTAACATAATTCCTAAATATAACATGCTGTGTGTTAAAATAATATTTTGGGTCAAACATTTCAAATTTGTTAATAAAAAACTTTTTTACGCACAGTTTCTAAGTGTGCAATGCGCGTTTACGCGTTTATGCGCACATTAAAGTTGACTATACGCTTACAAAATAATTTTAAAGAAAGTTTTAGAATCTTTAAGACAAAAATGATAAATTACTCTACCTGATATTTTTATAAAAATAATTTTTAAAAGATGTTGATACATAGTGAAAAAAACTGTACTTTATTACATTTATTTTATCATTTATATTCCAATTAATTTAATAATTTCATCTGGTAACAGTGTTCCTCGATAACTCTTATGTTTTCTAAATGATATGCTTGATACTTTTGAATCTGATCTTACTAGAAAGTAGTGTTCATCATAGATTCATCATTGTGCATATCTGATTCATCATTGTGCATAGATTCATCATCTGAATCGTTTTTATTTTTTGCTATTACTCAATCAATATTGTTCATTTGATTGGGTTTAACATTGCACAGATTGCAGGATTTTGTCTCTGTAAGTGAGTTCACTACTTTATTATCAAACATTGTAAGATCAAACCTTTAGCTAATATTAAAGTTCACTATTCTTCCTGAATATTGAAAACTTTGCAAAACTTTTTTAACGCATTTGTTTCATTTTTTAGATCTGATTCTGCTTCTCTGGATAAAATTGGATTCTCTCTTTTTTATATTCTAGATGAAGAGGTTTACAAAAGTGAAAAATTTAAGGATTTCTATTTTTCCAAATTTTGTCATATCCTACTTTGAGCAATAAAGGCACAAAAGCTGTACTGAAAAGACTTTCTTTATGCTTAAGTTCTTTAATTATGTTGCTTGTCTCTTATTTCTGCTTATAAATACTTTGCTTTGGTGTTCCATTAAAACCAATCTTTCCATATAAAACTCAAAATATTTCGTTATCTTGACCACATTCGGCATTTCAATTATTCTGCTAAGAATGTGATTTAACACGCTTTGAAGAGTACACGTTGTAGAAATTTCAGAAAAATGTATTTTTTCAGGATAGCATTTCAATTGTTCCGCTAAAATATCGTGAAAGAATTAATATGTAAATTGTGAACAAAAGCTGAGTTTCTGACCATTTGATATTGTTTATCGCTGAGATCAATATTTATTTCTAATATAAAAGCTTCCCCGACAAGAAAGGTATATGTGGCCGACATGTGGTCATAGTGCTTTCGTGTGGATTAAAAGTACAAAAATATATTACAATTGATGAATGACGTATTTGATGAAGATAAGTGTGGCCTACTTGTGGAACACATAAGGCGGCTCACATAACTATTCTACATAATGTGGCATAATCCTTAAATAAATACGTGCTAAATTTGATGTGGCTATCATATGGGCTATACATATAAAACTCACGATCTTGCCTCATTTTGAATTTTAAATTTTAACCATTTTTAATAATTCTATCGCAATGCATTGTAAACTCTAGAATATTCCATGATATCATGTGGCTTACCGTTTTGATAATTTTAAATTGTATGTATATTTGAGCGATAAAAATAAATATATATAAAAGAAAAAGTGTAAATATATAAAATAAAAAACAAAAACCTAGGTGTGTTAGGACTTTTACTTATTGTAATATACAATTTGTTATCATTACTAAACTATGTTTTTTTAAAATATGATTTTATGTGTGATTTAGATTATATAACGGCATATTGTTAAAAGGATATTATTTAAAACTATATTACTTATATACAGGGCCGTACCGACGGGTGTGTGTATGGGGTTGGCACCCCCTCCTCCCCAGATTTACAAAATTCTGTCGGTTTTTGTCGGAAAATTGGAAGATTTGGGACTCTATCGGTTAGAACTGATATTTGGCTTCTAAAAAAAAACAACCCTTGTCTGTAAAGTTAGCTTTTTTCCTTTGCACCTTTCCCCCCTCCCCCTCAGGCTTTCGTTGTTTGGTTCGGCCCTGCTTTTATATAAGTATACAATATATATTATAAAATTTATAAAAAAATTGTAAATGTTTATAATTTTGTTATAAAAAAAAAAAAATAAAATAAAAAAGTTTGAGCGGTTTTGTAATGAATATATTAGAGAATTGTTGTTCTAAATAAACTTTCCATAAAATTTGTAAATCAGAGTTATACTTAACGAATACAAATTTATAGTTATACTTAAACAACGTTATATTTTAAAATAGCGGACAATATTAGCAAACTTCTGCAACGCATATAAATTGTATAGTAATGCGTCATTAAAAATAAGTATAGGTAAGCACTTTTTAATTGAGACGTTTTATATTTTCTGCATTAATTTAAATTTTTTGAACTAAAATGATAGGTTCTAAGAAAAAATCCCCCCAAGAAAAAATACTTTTGGTTTCAAATAAAAAAAATATATATCAGAGCTTTTTGTTTGTTAAGTATTTATCTTAAGTCAAATAAGTTACAACATTAACAAGATAGAATCGGGAATTGCAACTTTCATATTTTGCATATTAAAGTTTTATGGTTTAATTAAAGTACATAAAGTTAGTTTTTTGATGATGAACTACCAGAGTACATTCTTACAAGTTTAATTAAGTTACTTTAAAATCCCGTTCTTAAATAAATTGAATGATCTTTAAAAAGTTTAAAATTATCGGTACGTGTTCATAATTTTATAAACGCACAAGCGAAAATGTTTTTAAAATATCAACCTATAATTTTGGTTTCATTACAATTATTTAATCATGCAAATAAAGCGTAGGGCTTGTTTGATTTCAGTATGATAAACAATAAAACCATATAAGAAACGCGATTGCTGCCAATCCATAAAACGCGAGGGCTACTTAAAACTTTCACGCACAAATAAAAAGTGGCGTGCGCTTTAATCTAGTGTGTTCTTAGTGGGATAAACATTATAGCCACATATGGGAGCATCAACGTCATCCCATAAAGGAGAGTGGTAAGCGTATGGTTAGCATGCAAATGCCATACATGGCCCACATTAAAATTTCTTGTATTAATGGGGAAAGGTTTTACCCAAAGTTTCATCAATATTTTTGGTCTCTAAAACATTAGACATATAATTTTTTTAAATGGAAGAGTTTTTTTTTCTCCAGCAGCCTTTGCAGTTCTTGTAAAAGTTAAAGATAAAACTTCATGATGTTCAACGGCTAGTTCTTTTTCCTTTTTCTTTTTAGCTTCACTCTCCAAGAACACTGTTTATGGGGCCTTTCGGAACAAAAATGGCAATTTTTATTGGACATAAGATTTCGCTGAAGCCAATGACTTTCTTTTTGTATAAATGTATCATAAATTCGACCACATTGTTCTACTTTTTTCTTCACCTTTGAAATAAATATAACTAAAGCACCTTTATTTAAGTTTTCAGTGTAAATTTCTTCAGTATTTTTTATTTCATTAAGTAAATCCTTTCAAAATCTTAATTTATCCTCTCCTACTTCACGTATATTTTTAAACTACTTTACACATTTTTTTACTTAAATTATGTTATAATCGCTTTAACAATTATCGCATTAGATTTTCTGTAATAATATTATATTGGTAAGTTACTTTTATAGTACAGGAAATACTAAAGTTGTTGAGCTTTTTCAAACAGGTTGTACTTATCAAATAATAAATCATTCTTCAAAATTGACAATAAATATTTTGATAAACTTCTAAATATTATATAATAATGACAAAATCACGTTTTTTAAAACTATATTTAATATTTATAATTAAAAAACTATATCAGAACAAGTCAGAGGCGATTCTACGAATAAAATGAGGGGGGATGAATCCTCAAAAAGTACCGACTAGCTTTTTCAAAAAAAAAAAAAAAAAAAAGTCTTCAAAACGAAAATTTAACCGACTGAATTGTGTCAAATAGCCGACTGCCGACTAAATTCGTAAAAAAAACCCGACTATAACTTGAAAATCACCTTCTTTGGGGGGTGTAACAGCCCCCTCACACACACACCCGTAAAATCGCCTCTGGAACAAGTTCTACAAGTAAAAACCTCAAATTTAAGTTTCCTATCAATTTTATTTGTTTTGATATAATCAAATACGTTGAAAAATGGCGGAAAATAAGGTTTTTTATGAGTTCATTAACATTTGTATTTCTTTAATAACTTTCAATACAGCAGAATACCGCAGTAATTCCTTTATATTCTAAATAGAGATCCCTTTATATTCTAAATGTTAATTAACTGGAAAAAATATATATATATTTGTGGAAATCGGTGGAATATTTTTTTAGCTGATATATTTACCAAAAAAATAAAATTATTTTCGACTTTTTTTTTAAAGAAATCTTTAAATTTAAACAAACAAATTAGACTTTTTTTTCTTTTTAGTATATTTGAAATATATAGTCAAAAGATTATCTTAAAAATAAATACACTTTTATTTAAATCTCAAAATTTTAATAATAATTTTCGTCAAAAAGACGTATCCCGCGTTCCAATAAGGCAATTTTTAGAGATAATGTAATGATAAAATTATTTTTCATATTTACATCACTGCCCAAGTACATCATTAAGTCATTGGAATGCGGAATACATCTATTTTTTTAAGTCAACAGTTTCCAAACTGTGAGTAGCTACCCTAACGGAAGTCGCCTGACAATTTGCTAGTGGTCGCCATTAGACCTTCTGAAAATAGTTTGTTGAAGCTAGTCATTGTTTTTTTTTTATCAGTTTAAATTAAGGCAATACTCTGACTAGAGTCATAACAGTGTACTTCTTTATAATTTTTTAACCTCAACTTTAAAGTTAATAGCTTTAATTGTAAGCGACTCTTAGTTGTTTAATGTTAATTGCACAATGCACGCCTAAAATATTGTAAAGCTTACAGTATTTTAAGTGTAAATTGTACATTATATTATTAAGAGTCCTACACAATCCGGTCTTTAAAGTTGAGAATTTATAAAATGCTTATAAGGTAAACATTTTATTCCTTTGCAAGTATTAACCAAATTATATACAAACTCTTTTGTATATAAAAAAATTTCTAACAAAAAATATGGTTCCTATAAAATTTGAAATATAACTAAAATGGTGTTTATTAAGTAAAAAATAAAACAAAATGATGGTGTCTATAAAATATAAAACATAACTACAGTGATATAGGGGGAACGGGGATCTCCCTGCATCTCTCCCCCCCCCCTTCCACCAGATTCTAAGAGAGCAAAAATATCTTAGAAATTGAGGACCTTTTTTTTTTAAAGACGTAAATGTGATATAAAATACAAAAATATATCAACATCTTCCCCGCCCTTTCTCCCCCACCAAAAATTCCTGGATCTCTTAAAACGGATCCAGGAATTTTTGGTGTATAGTCAGTATACTGACTAAATTGGTGCCTATAAAGTAAAAAATATAACTAAAATTGTGCCTATAAAGTATAAAATATTAAAAAAAAATAAGTCTATAAAGCTAAAGGAACTTAAACTATTTAACAAAAATATGGACAAAAACTAAACTTTTTATATTTCAAGAACTTGAATATTTCAAAACTACTGCAATAGAGAGAAATAATTCAATTATTTCTCTCCACAATTGGTATGTAATATCACCTAGTGTTCACAAACTTCTGCAAAATGAAGTTATATCAGAATTCTGAAAACTTCCCATTGGATTTTACTTTATAGAAACTCGAAATCTCAGATTGAATCATTATTCTAAAATACCAAGATTTAATGTAATAAAGTATTAAATAAAATATCTACTCATTCAAATTGATGCACTGATTTCTTCTATCTTTTTTTGTCAAACACAAATGGTTCAATGGAAAATAACTCACAGATAATGTCTTTTAACTGTTGAAAGTTTAACAGTTAGCAAATATCAGATAATTATTTGCGGGTTACTAGATGATATACTAGAATATTGATAAAACTACAACATAATCCATATAAAAAAGAACCTAAAGCTTAAACCTTTTTGTGTATTTAATAGCATAAAAAATTTCCAACACAAAAAATAGTTCAGAAGATGAAAAAGATTCAACTAATGGCGCCAATCTTCTTTTCTTTATTTTATTACTTGAAGTACCATAATTCACCTGGGGTCTGCCAGACATTTAGCGATATATAAAATCAAATGTTTTTTTATAATAGTTAGTATATAGTTGATTCAAAAACATTTTAATTATCAAAAATGTGTCACAAAATTGCAAACCTACGTACATTTACCTGTTTCGTCTTTTTTCATAATCCGTATTAAATTATAAAATAGAAACAGTATAAACGTTGGATTGAAAATTTCAAGTTTTCAAGATTTCTTTTTTTTTGGATTAGCTTGAAAATGTTATCAACAGCTCTTTCACAATTCTCAAACATTTTTCCCAACTGACGGGGTTTTTTGTGAAATCAATATTATTAAATCATTCATTATTTAATATTTGCTTGAATTATATTTTTTATTCTGTAATTTAGATTTGGAATGGAAGCGCATACAATCAAAACAATTGTCTCGATGTTGTTCTTTGTATTAAGCACTGGTTTGTTTGCTTTTTTATTTGTTACAGTTTACAGTTTTCAGTTTCTACTTTCAGTATAAAATTTTCAATAGTCTATGTAAATTTATGGTTTAAACCCGTAAATTTAAATAAAACTTTAAAAGGTTTAAAAGTTATAAAAAAAATTGCGGTGTTACAAAAAAACCCTAAATTCCCCACATTTCCACATACATTAGAGTTAATAAAATATTTTTTATACTATTTTATACTAAAATTATATTCATCATTTAACTTTAAACTTCGTTTAATAATCTCTTAATGTTTAAAAATTGACCAAAAATTGTACATTAGGTATCATATTTTGTTGCACCACTCCTGTAAGTTGTAAATAACACACTTAGCGTTCTTCTAATATAATGATAAACAACCAAGTTATTCCTAATTACATAAACAAAAACACTTTTTCAATCATGAAACACAAAAGTTAATAAAAACATTTTATCAACTTTAACAAGCCTAAATAAAAGGATAAAATGTAAAAGTTTAAAAAATTAAAAAAATACACTTCAGTAATAAAAATACAGATCTTCCTTTCTAAAAATAACTTCTGTCAAGATTATACCGTTTGCAACCGCAAATCTTGTGATAAGTTTTGTAATTTCAAAATAAATATTCCGTTGGTATTTTTACGCACATAGTTTTGTCTTTTTTATTGTTGATTCATAAAACTTTGAAAACAAATAAACCAAAAACCTAAAAATGTCAGTTTAAATTCCTCAATTGATCAAGGCTGTCAAGGCCCAAATTTCTTGGAATTCGGTTTTGTCAATAACGTGGCCAAAAAAAAAATCTCAAAGCAAAGTCAAGAGACATGATTAAGAAGCACCTGAGTTCCCTATTCCCTATAAGTTCAATCCTGCTGCTTGCAGGTAGATCTATGCTTTATGTATTTCATAAAGGACCGACTCCCACAATCCGTAAAAGAACAAAAACAAAAATAATTGCAATTGAACAAACAGCACCCCAGCATTTGATCTATTACATCTGTTTTTTTATTCACAAGTTAATTGCTCTACAGCATATAAATTTTTAGACTATTTTTTTACAACACTAACTGAATCTCCTTTTTCACTATATTGTGTTTTCATTATTTGTTTAAAATTTTGACCAGTGAAAGAAATAAAAACATCTCAATGATGAGAAAAATGTAAATAACTACTCCATAATTATGTAACAGAATATGTAACAGAATCAAAATCAAATCAAAATATGTAACAGAATTCACAACAACTGATGTTGCTTGCTTATCTGCTAAATTTAGTGAATGCTTTGTACATGCAACAAGTTCTTTTTTCCGGTAGATTTATTTAATGCACACCATCAGCAACATCATCATATTGTTTTCCTCTAAATTTTGAATATTTATTCCATCACTTTTTTATTTTTCCAATATCATAGTTGAAATAGATTCATTATTTTGTGTTAATAAAATCAATAAAGTATTCCTTAACATACAATAAGTTTTCATTAATTTTAAAGTAACGTAAAACCTGGGTGCTTCAACCTTATGCGAAATATAAGGAGTGTTACCAAACGCTATTAAAAAATATCTGGCTCCTAATACATGTTTTATGACTTTTCTTTTGACATTTTATCTCAGAATTTTAAACTCATTTTGGATCTTAGTTGACAATTAAGTCACCTATAATTAATAAAACCTAGTATAATTAATTGTAATAATAATAAAAAAAAAATTATTACAATTATACTAATAATAAAGTTTTTTTTTTGGAAAAAAATATGATTTAGTTGTAGTTAAATTGAACAAAACCGGGTGTATTCCGTAAGCCCATTAACAGTTAGCCATGCCAGCTCGTGCTCGATTGTATAAAAGATGATGCACTGTTGTAATTATAAGTGATCAAATTTCATTTTGAAGCAGTGGATACTGATAGCACTGATAACTTTGTTAGGTAGTGGGTTCCATGGGTAGTAACGCAGTTGTTGAAGAAGTTGAAGACATTTGTTGACAATTTCATGATAAAAGTGCTACTTTTTCAAGTAGTATTTGACTGTTGAAACAAAAGAGAGAATCATAGTGTTGCATTTTTAAGACAAATAAACCACTTTGCCCGTCCAGTTATCAAGTATTTGAGGGAAATTTAGGGGCCCCCAAAAATTTTAGAGGATTTTTTTTTTCCTTTCTTTTTTTTAGTTATTTTTAGGCTCTAGCCCATAAAAAGGCCTCCAAAAACAAAAATAGCCACGGGCCCCAAGAAATCTTAATTCGCCACTGTTTGCTATACAATGCTTTTATATCCAAATATATTGTTGAGGGTTGTCCATAAATTACGTCACGCTTGTTGAGAGAGAGGGGTTAATCACTTTGTAAAGACTCATATGAAACTTGTTACTAAAGAGTTATGGTGATGTGAAAAGGGGGGAGTGGGTCAAAAGCACCTACAAACGGTCAACAATTGCGCGACGTAATTTGTGGACAACCCCTTGGCTCTTAACAAGAACAGGACGAGCTCTTGGATTAAGAGGAACATGACTACCCCTTGGATTAACTTTTAACAGGAAAATCCATTGGTTCTTAACTTGGATTAGCCACATAATCAAAAAGACTAATCCAAAGTAGCGTCTGGATTCAAACTCGTCTCGCACAACAGTCTGGGTGTAAACAATTTGTTTGACGCTCTAACCATCTGAGCTACTTTCTAGTTGTAATCACAATTATCACAGCCACTATACAGTTGAGAATCTCTGGACATTTGTAAAAAAAAAGACTGCAAAAGCATGATTGCAATACTGAAACTAAGCTTACAACCACTGTCCTTCAGATTTTGTTTAAAGACCTATAAATATATAAAAAAGTTAATTTGTGCAATACTGTAGATCTAGACATATCTGGTCTTTCATACAACCACTAAAATAAATGTTGCAAGAAGTTACTATTTTTTAGTGTTTCTTTCTAAAAGCAAATATTTGAGAAGCAAACATGACTACTGCTATTTTAGAATGCTGGTAACATACCACCTTAATGTTATCTGTAATAAAAGTCTATATTTAATTTTTCTCAATCTCTCATTTCATGAATACCATTACTTAATATTTATACATTTACAAATACCCCCGATGATATAATAAACATTATAAGCTTTATATACAAATTAATATATGATGCAACCACAACATTCCCTCTGATGCAACATAATAGTTTATAATGTAAATAATTGTATATATAAATTATATAAACAATTATTTACACTAATTAATTAATTTAAGCCTACCATTGTGCCTAATAAAAGATTTTACATTAAATTCTTTACATAAATATGATCAATGGTAGTTTTATTAAGCAACCTTTTAAGTAACTACACCAGCTTTCCATATGATGAATATGTAGATTTAAATTTTCATGCTCTTAAAGATGGTTGGCTATATTACATGTGAAAAATCCATTGTTACAGAGATCGTTTTTTATGTTTACTAAACGATTTGCTTGCAAATTGTTTAGTAAACATGAATAAATACAGTTCAAGTGCTGACCGAGTATACAGGGCAAAACCCTGTGTTTTTATTACAAAATTATGAGTCTTAAAAAATTCTGAAAAGCTTTTTTTTTGCTGGAGAAACTTGTTTTTTCTGTTAAAACTCTATATTAGTTAGGTATATCAACACTCTATTACTATATCAGATATTTCAGATTTTTAAAGGTTTTATATATTTTATTTAGAAATCATTATGTTAATCAATTTTTACCTGATAAATTTAAAATTCTTTTATATTCATATTTTATATTTGTTCTTTTTTATATTCATTTTTAGTAAAAATTAAAAAATAAATTCTAATATGGTCCAAGGAGCTTGGAAAAAATATTTAAGGCTTTTGGTGCTAGCCAAACTTTTTTTTCTGTTCTTCAGCGATTTTTCTGTTTCTGTTCTCTTTTTTTTGTGCTAATTTTTGGATAAGTTTTTGTTTCTTGGTGTTTAATTATATGATGTTATATATTTTAAGTAAAACTATTCTCAGATATAAATAATCTTTTTAAAATATCTTTTCAGAAGGACAACAAGATATCACCAATTTCCATGTTGTAAATACATATTTAAATATTGTTGAACTCAGCTGGGATTCATTTATAAATGCAACCCTATATCAAGTATCTGGTTATGATTTGAAAACATATACCGTAGTTAATTCAACAACAAATGCTACTACAGTTAAAAATTTAAAGATGAATACAGACTATTATTTTAAAGTGAATGTTCTCGAGCTTAATAATCTAACAATTAATAAAATCATGATTTCATCAAGATTGATATTGGTAAATGCTAAAACCAGTAAGCATTATAGTTTTTTTTTTATGATTTATTTAACTAATATGTAAAATTAAATTTTAATGATTTGTGCTTATGATCTTGATAATCATCTTTAAGAATAGTAATGTCTCCTATTGAATCAAAAGTTTTTATTTTTAATTGTTTTTTTTTACAAAAAACAATTACTTTGAAAGTACTTTGAAATTTTTATTTCTCAGCATAAACAACTGTCTATTGTTTATTTGTTGAAACCTATTACTGTGGTTTTAATATAATTTTGAATAAAATTTAAATTTATCTCTGATGATAAGGTGACCAACATTGTCCTTTTTATATAGAAAAACACTCTCCTACATAAATTTATATATTATAAAGCTAGTTTTAAAGCCAAGATTTTTTTGGTGTTATGATACATATTGGTTTACTAATACTAATTTTATGCTTAAATTTTTTAGCATATGGATTATATTATTTTAGACATGTTCTCAGATAAAATCAACTTTACTGCAACTAATGCTACGTATAACAGTATTTTATTGAATTGGTATCCATTCAAAGCTGTAATTTTATATAAAGTTGAATATAGCATTAATGGTTCAGTTAATGAAACACAAAATGTGATGACATCAAACTCATCTATAGAGCTTACAAATCTTATATCCAATAAAACCTATAGAATGAAGTTGTTTGTAGTTGCTATCAATGGCATCATTTCTGAAGACCAGTTACAGAGCAATGATTTATTATACTCTACTTTAAAAGAAAAAGGTAATTTGTAGTTAAATTTTATGAAATAAAAAATTTCTACTCCTATTTTTCTTAACTCTATCGTAACGAAGCGGGTCTATTTTTATCTATTTTCTTTATAGAACGCACCACAAGTAGTTATAAGTCCTTGATAAGTAATATATTAACTTTTTCTAAGCTATAATGTCAGACTTTTTTTTTTGTAAAAAAAAAAAAAAAAAAAAAAATTGCAAATGTCTTGCAAATGATATCCGCCATCATTGGTATTTCATTTTTTTTAAAAAAGAGACGCAATCTCTATTTATTTATCTTTTTGAAAATATATAGTTATGGGTGTAAAAAGATGCCTTTTATCCCTAACATATTATTTTCAGTATAGTATTTTTATTTTTACTATTTACAAATATTAAATATAGGTGCGAAAGAGTTAAATCTATGATTTGTAGTTTATCATCTAACAAAAAATTGATGTGGTTTTAATAGGATTAAAAGTTAGGGATTGGCATATGTTTTATCTTATATTTGTAGATTAATTGCCTCTATCAATGTATATTGAAGTCTATTTCTTATTAATTTTTATTATGCTTTTATAAGAAATTTTGTTGTTACAAATTTTTTTTTTAACTACTTTAAATTTTAGCAAAATTTGAAGTTTTGATGTTAAATTTAACTGCTGGCATGATAACCTCAGAATCTATTTTTGTTACATGGACTTCTTTTGAAGATGCCACCCAATTCCAAGTTATGTGTGTGACTAACACAACTCGTGGAACACCTCTTTATTTAACAACAAATTCAACATTTTTAAACATAACAAATTTGCAGAGTGGAACACAATATGAAATTACTGTTTACGTTTCAGAGATCTTAAATACAATACCCACAATAACCAAGAAAAGTTTGACGTTGACTACAAAAACAAGGGGTATTTTAGTTTTAATTGTCACATTTATTTTTATTATGCTTTATAGGGTGTCTCAAATAACAACATTTTTGAAAAATCTATGCTACCACTCCCTTAAAGGGACTACCAAGTCCCGAGACATGTTGTGTTCATATTAAAGAGAATGTTAAAAAAAAAACGCCTTAGCAAACTTTTTTTGATTAAAACTAATTAATAAATAAATACCAAGAAAAACAAATCTTGTTGTTTTAGTCGAAGCTCCTCTTCTCCATTTTCTGTGGTGTTTTGAGTATATAAAATAAACACGATTTTCCACATTACACAGACTTGATAATTTATTCAAGCGCGTTTAATTCATAGGAGTTTTAGTGCATGACGTCATTGAAAACAATCTAAAATTCTTTAAAAATTTGACTATTAAATTTTACTAAAATAGCTAACTATAGTTACTTATTTTATTAAAAGTTTATTTTATTAATTGTTCGTTAGTTTTTTATAAATCTAACGAACAATTAATTAAACCAAGCACTAAGAAAAGATATAAAAATTGAGAATATACTAATAAAATATATAATTTGTAATTAACTTTCAAAATTTTGAAAATTTAAAAAATAAATATTACAAAACATTAATTTTTGTAAACAAATAATAGTTTAAAATATTTACGACTTTACAGACGTGGCTCCGAGAATGAGCCATAATATTAAAGTGATAGTTCATTTGATAATATACTTTTAAAAAAATTTATGCTAGATATCTCAAAACGCAACAAATCGTAAATTAAAACATTTCAACAGAATACTCTAAAACTTTATTTCGCTTAGTCAGCATATTTTTTGAACCAATAGAATTAGTTTGTTCGTAAATTTGGCGGGTTTATAGTGTTAGCGAATATTCTTTTTATTCTTCCACAAGATATTTTAAGAACATTCAAGTTAATTATGTTTCCATGTATGTCTTTAAAATAAAAATTAATATATATTAATTTTTTAATTTTTAAGCTCCCGCCATAATATATATTGGATGTTATAATGATGGGAATATAAATAATGAAATAAGATCACCTCAATACCAAAAAATACATTTTTTAAAATCAGAGAAAAAATGCATTATTAATTTTTTTTTAAATATTTACAAAGTAAATTAATAAAAGTGCATTATTATTTAGGTTAAAAATGATTTTATCTAATATTTTGAAAGAAACTAATAACAAAAGAAATAAAAATACTCGTGGTCTAGACAATTATTTAAAAAAAGTTGCGCAAATAAAATACTATTTTGTTTTTTATTTTATTTTTGTTTTTAATTTTATTTTGTTTTTAATTTTGTTTTACAAACACATTTTAGAACTTAAAAATATAATAAAAATGAATATGATTTGGAAATTGTATGAAAAAAAATCAAAATCGGTGTTTTAAACAAACAAACAAAAAAATCTATGACGTCATGCACTAAAACTCCTATGAATTAAATGCGCTTGAAGTCTGTATAATGCGCTTGGAAAATCGTGTTTATTTTACATACTCAAAATACCGCAGAAAATGGAGAAGACGAGCTTCGACTAAAACAACAAGATTTGTTTTTTTTGGAATTCATTTATTAATTAGTTTTAATCAAAAAAAATTTGCTAAGACATTTTTTTTTAACATTCTCTTTAATATGAACACAACAGGTAGTCCCTTTAATGTGTTCTATATGAAATAACACTGGATTTAAAAATTTTTTGAATAAATAATATTTTTTAAAATAAAAAATATTTTTAGTTGTGCTCTAAGACCCTTTAATGGATTTTAACATTTAATGGATCCCTAATAATAATAGAAGAAAGTTCTGTTGGGTCTCAAAAGAAGTGAAACTATATAAAAACTTTAAAAATAAGCATCATTTTATTAAAAAACTATCATTTTCGATTTTAGTGAACAGAAAATGACATTTTTTAACTTAAATAGAAAAATAGGGAATTTGATGAGATTTTTTAATTTATAAAATAATGATTATTTTTAAAAATTTTATATAATTTTGCTGCTTTTAAGACCCAACATATAATATACTTTTGAAAAACTATTTTTTTGATAATTATAGGGACCTGTCTGATGTTCAAGAGTTCAAGGGGCGCCACGAAAAATAATTTTTATTCAAAAATATTTTAACAATTATTTGGGACACCTTAATGTTTTATCAAAGTTTTGTAGGAATGGTGGGCTAGCCTGCCATTTCTTCTAAAGTCTGATACCATATCAACAGCCCCTCCATATCCGTGTGAGACAGTTTATGCTGGCAAAATAAAGCCCGCGCAAAGTATATATTTTTGGTTTAAAAATGTTAAATATGTTAATGTTTTTTGTATAGTTTTATCTTAAAAATTTCTCACATAAATTTTAATTTCAACATGAATGGTTGAAATTAAAATTTATGTGATGAAACCTCAAATTAAAAACTGTTTCTTTTTAAATTAAAAAGTTAATAAATTTAGTTTATTGTGTTTTAAAAAAAATCCATTTGATTTTTGTGTAATATGTAAAATATAAAAAAATCAAACAGTTTTTTTAAACAACGATAACTATTCTGTATTTGTTGTGATTTATGTTAAAAGTTATATAATTGCTATGTTAAAAAGTAGGTAAAATTTATGCATAAGTTTCAAAATAATTTAACAATTCAGGGTTTTCAGTATTTGCTGGAAATTCAAAAACTTAAATGATGAGAATTGTTAGAAAATAAAGAAAAATTATTCATCTATTTTGCTCAATTGAAAAATAAACTAGTTGGTCAGACTTTATAATTTGTCTATAACTAATATAAATGTCGATAACTATGATTTAAGCAAACAAAATTATTACACAGTGGTTTGAAATAATCAAAATGTGGCTTTAATTCCAGATTTGTGAAAATCCAATATAAAAAGTTTTGATTATGCAAGACTGTTGCAAATTGATCATGTTTTCATATTCTGAAAAAAATTTTCTTTCAAGACCATTTGGCGCTTCCCTGCAGATGCTCAAAGTTGTCATTTTTTGAAGAATTGTTTAATGAAAAAGCAATAATTTTGAACTTTTATTTTATTTTTTAAACTACACCAGTGAACTTCCATATATTATATATCAATCAGAAGAATATTAAACAGGCTTTCAGAGTTTAATGTAAAATGTTTTATAAAATTACATTTCATTCTGTAAAAATGCAGAAAAAGATAACTTTTTCGACTGCGAAATAATAGCATACTTGAATGTGACTTTTATTAAATTTTGTATGTTTCTTGAAGAATCTGAATTCATATAGATAAACTTCCACCTTTCTTCTTTTAATCCAAGGTTTTGATGCCTCCGGGAACCAATTTTCAATTTAAAAATGTTCCTACTTAAATTATTTTTTTCAATGTAAAACATGACAGTCATTTTTAGTCAGTGCTAAAAATCTCACTCCAATTTTTTGCAAAATAAAAACACTATCATTTAAAGGGACCACCAAGTCCCGAGACATGTTGTGTTCATATTAAAGAGAATGTTAAAAAAAAAAACGTCTAAGCAAATTTTTTTTGATTAAAACTAATTAATAATAATAATAATAATAATAATTGAAGCTGTGTTCTTGAAAGTTTCAAGAAAGAATCTAACAACTGTAGATGTTAGATTTTAACAACTGTTTTTCGCTAAACTTTTTAAGTTTATTTTTAAAATCAATTACTGAATTAGCGTTAACAACTTTACTGTCCAAACGATTCCAATTTTCAACTATACGGTTAGTGAAATTAATAAATGTATACCAAGAAAAATTAATAAATGTATACCAAGAAAAACAAATCTTGTTGTTTTAGTCGAAGCTTGTCTTCTTCACTTTCTGCGGTATTTGGAGTCTTTAAGGTAAACACAATTTTCCAGGCGTGTTATACAGACTTGATAATTTATTTAAGTGTGTTTAATTCGTAGAAGTTTTAGTACATGACGTCATTGGAAACATTCTAGAAGTTTTTTAAAGATTTTACTATTAAATTTTACTAAAGTAGCTAACTATTGTTAGTTAATTTATTTTCTAAAAGTTTCACATTAAAAAATATTTTGTTTTTTGTATCTATCAGAGCCGTGGCCAAGTACTTGGGCCACGGCGATGGTGGACCCAGGGACTTCATGGAGCCAAATCGGGTTATATAATATCTCCGATGATTCACGAGTGTGTCCTTTACATTTTGATGCAAGTTGTTTTGACAAATCTAACGAACAATTAATTAAATCAAGCATAGGAGGAGATATAAAAAGTAAGAATATACTAATAAAATATATAATTTGTAATTAACTTTCAAAATATTGACAATTTCAAAAATATATAAAACATTTATTTTTGTAAGCAAATGATAATAGTTTAAAAAATTTACGGCTTTGCAGATGTGACTCCAAGAATGAGCCATAACATTAAAGTAATAGTTCATTTGATAATATATTCTTAATACAACTTATGCTAGATTTCTCAAAACGCAACAAATCGTGAATAATACAATTGCTAAAACATTTCAACAGAATACTCTAGAACTTTACTTTGCTTAGTCAGACTAATTAGTCAAACTAATTCTATTGGTTCATTTTTTGAACCAATAGAATTAGTTTGTTCGTAAATTTGGTGGGTTTTTAGTGTTGCCTCCTTGTAAGAGATGTGCATATTATTTGGTCTACATTTTTTTATTATATTCCAGAATATCACTGTAAAATGGATAAATATCTGCATGTGAACATAAGCTGAAAATTACACCCTTGTTACTGGACAGTCTTGCTACAAAAGTTAAATAACATTTGCTATATATTTTTAAGTTTAAAATTAGAACTTAGTTTACATAGATGAACAACGAACATGTATGTAAACTAATTTTAAACATTTATTGTTAAGTTTTTTAAGACAAAAACTTTCTTTTGCTAGTTAATTGTAAAATGACTATTTTGCAAAATATGCATTAATATCAAGCTTTTAGTATGCATAGAGTAAGAAAGTTATCAAACTGTCTGTGGCAAATTGAACATGCTACAAAGCAGCTGTGGCGCAGTGATTAGAGTTTTGGCTGAGAAACAAGTATGTCTAAAAACAAGTTTTGATGCTGGCTCTAGCCCAATAAGCAACATTAGAAAAGGTGTGAACTTTCTAATTGAATGCTTTTCCGCGGTGCTCTGTGATAAGACCCTAAGGACATCTAAAAGCACCTTAATAACCACAAAAAAAAATTAAAACTGGTTTTACACTTCCATTTTTAGTTTTAATTTTAAGAATCATTTTATGTAAACAGATGTCACGTGGCATTAAAAATATCCGTTAAAAACAAAAAAGTTAAACCTAAAAAAGTTTGTTAGATTTTATTTTACATAAGATTATGAGCTGAAATTAGATGTAAAAAAACAACTGACATTCAAAATTTCAGATAATTAAAACAGAACACTGGCATTCACAAGTTTTAATGGCCATTTTACATTTACAGTCTAATGTTATTATTCACTTACACGCCTAGACAATAAACAATAAAAATAAAATTTTTAAAAGAATCTTAAAAAATTCTCACAGTTTTACTATGAGAATCACTTTCCTCTATCACTCTACTCTTGAATCTAATTACCCAACCCTTCTTGTCATTCCTTCAATTACTAAAGTTTTCTCTTAAACTAATCTACTACTTGTAGTTCCAGGCTCCTTTTTTAATCTTTTTTAAGTCCAGAACTTCAATATTCATTTAAGAGACATTTTTTTCTATATTATAAATTTCTCCAGGTATATCTTTTTGATTAAATCTCAAGGTTAAAAAGTTTTAAAGCTCTTAATTATTAGTATTTTATTATTATTTTTATTGTATTAAAAATGTATTAATGTATTAATTTTTTTATTTTTTTTATTTTTATGTTATTCACCTCCTCAAGGCCGAGAGAGATTTACAATATAAAGTAGCTCCTCAAGCGACAGTCAAGGAGGCTACTTTATATTGGTTACAAACCTCTCTCAACTCTTTAACTCCGAAACACGAATCTTGACGAACAAGGAGGGTGCGCGGTGTGATGTGGTGGATTTTGAACACTCTTGAATTTCGGTGCACACAATTTTTTTCACACAATTGAACACTGTGGTAGAATTGAACATTTCTTGCTTATGAAACGAATGTTCTACCACTACACCACTACCGCACATAGGATAATACCGCCTAGTTTAGATAATAAATACAGTTTTGTTTTTGTTAATTTGTTAAAGAATATTTTAGTTTGTTGTTTTACTATGTAAACATATTAACAGATCGTCGTTCGTGTTGGTGAATTCGGTAAGACTGTTCTTATAACTATTTTTTTATCATTTCAGTAAAAGTATTGCAAAAATTTTTTTTTTTTTTTTTAGAGAAAGAGATATCAAAAAAAAGTGACGTATCAAAGAAAAACAATAGTGAAAATAGATTTTTGTATTCGAAATTGACAATTCCAGTTTTTGCCATAGTTGCGATATTTTTCATCTTATCATAATTTATTAATAATATTTTTTATGGTTTTTGAAATCTTTTACCCTTTTAATGGTTGGCAAAGAATTTACTATACCACTAAATTTCAAATGTTTTTAATTCTTTTATTTATTCTTTGTAAAAATAATCTTATGTGAATTCATTCAGAAGTTGTTTTTTATTTATTACTAAATTATGTTTACTTGTTTTCATTTCTTTATCCGACAAGTCGGTTTTAATGTTTATATAAAGATAAAAACTGCTCAAATTATTCCATCTATGTGCATATATAAAAGTTAAGGTGATTTTCATTCGAAAAAAAAAAGTTTGCAAATTAATTTGCCTGGTTATTGGCTATTATACCTGGTTATACAGTACTGGCCAAATTATTTCGATAATAGACAAAAAACTTATTGTCTATTTTTTTTTTTTTTTTTTCACTTATCGCTAGTTTTTATTTCTCATATTTAATATATAATACCAAATTTAGAAAACATATGTAACACATGTACTGTGTACAATTTACTGATTCTGCATATGTTTTTCAGTATTTAGTTGTACCACCCTTCGCTTTTATAAGCACTGCAATTTTATTCGGCGTACAATTGACTTACAATTGACTTGTTATTAAATTACATTACCCATAATTTTTCAGTAAAAAATATATTTTTTTTGTGCAATGTCATAATTTAAATACTTATACTATAGCGAGTTACCTAGGAAAGCTTTTCCATATTAAAATTGCTGCGTACAGTTGTACAGCCTGAACCACCTTTAATTGTGATCATCACGGACATTTACCGGGAGACCACAACAACAACGTGCATTTGTATCAAGAAGTTGTATCAAGGCGGAAGTCAATATATTTTGCAAATGTTATTTAGTTGCAGAAAACAGCCTGACTTATTTTCATTGGTTGTTTTTAAAAGACTGTGAACCGCTAATTTTGGTTGGGGATGAAAAAAGAAATGTAAATACTGAAGAACTGGTTCAAACTAATTTTTTAAAGAACTTCGAGTCCACACTTCCAAAAGGCAATGTCATTCTGCGAATATTTTTGAGTACTACGAATACAAAACGTATAGGGTGAGCGGTTATTCAACACACTAAGCGGATCAAAAGCGTTCCGCGTTCAACAATTGTATAAGAGAGAATGTCGGCAATTAAATACTTGACATTGAATATAAAAAACTAAAAAAAAAATTCAAGGTGAGAATCTGATTGTTCATTTTAAAAAAACCAACTTTTGTCGAAAAGTATTTTACAGCTTATTATTGTTAAATTGATTGTTTGTACTTTGCGATTGTGCTTAACTATGCTATTATGCAAATAAAATTTTAAAATTTCCCACCAATCTTACATCTGGAAAAAAACGTTATTCAAGAGCAAACGTAAAAAAAAAAGTTTTTTCCTATTTCTCCGGTAAACAGTAAGTTTTACCATCAAAATAGAACAAAACTTATAGATCATGAAACTATCTACAAAAATTGTCATCATACTTTTTTCTAAAAAATTGCTCCTGTGATGTCGCAATTCTAAACCACCAAAAACAATAAGATGTTTGTTGAACCACCTATACATATCAGATGTTATTATTAATGATAAAGAATCATAATGTTACCATTGAAATTATTATAAATGTTATAAAATACCATTGAAATTTTCATAAATAATATAACTTCATACAATGATATTGAATATGGAGATGATAATAAAATATGTGAAGCATTACTTTATAAGTTCTATGAAAAACTGAAAGAACCTAATATAGTGTTGGTAGCAAAGAAGTTGGTAAATGCTAAATAGATTAACAAGAATAAACAGCATTAAAGTAAAGTTTTTTTTTTTCCACTCATCAGGACATGTTCTTTATATACTTTTCAAGTCTTCACGCTTATATTTGAAGGATTTTCTACAATAAAACAAATTGATAAACTTTAATGTTTATCAAACGTACATAAAAGTATTTTTCACTGTTAGACGTTCTGATAAACTCAATTTGGGTTCTTCAACGAATATGGTGGTTTAGCAATCAATAATGAAATGAATGAAGTCACATAAAAATATTAATCAATTAAGATATACAAAAGAGAGTGTAATAGGTAAATATGTATGTATGTAAAATACAAATTGGAAAATTTTACTATTATTAAAAAGGGTACAACTGATCAGCATGTAGATGCAAGTGATTCACAAGTAAAGAAACATGCTAAAGATATTTATACAAATCTTCAGTGTTTTTCATTACCTGACCCTTTCCTTAAAATTAAAGAAATCATGTCATGGTGATAATAAAATTTACTGTAATAAAGCTCGTGGAGTTTTCGCTTTCATGTCTAAAATAACAAAATAAACTTTTAACATCAAATTAAAACGCCCTAATGAAGTACTATTTCAACCATGAGTAGCACCACAAAAGTTTATGATGAAAATGTATTTATAGATCCGGTATTACTACTTCAAAATTAGAGAAATTAAGGGATTAAATTAAAGCTGTTTTGAATATGAATTATCCCTCTATTCATTATCAATGTTTGATGAAACTGGAATGCGTAAAACAGAAATCATCTGTTTACGATTGCTTTAACCAGTGAACATTAAAATCGACAACATTAATGCTAGTTACATCATCGATAGAGGATATTTATCACACCGGGTTGTGTAAGATTTAGAAGAAGCGTTCAATGTTATTTTTGATAAATACGTTCAGCATGTCCTAAACATTTTTTTATCGAGTGTTTATTTTATACTTGATATGTATGATTAATACAATATAATAAATATATTAGTAATAAATATATATATATATATATATATATATATATATATATATATATATATATATATATATATATATATATATATATATATATATATATATATATATTTAGTACTTAATGGTTATACTGATTATAAAAAACTATTAAAATTTGCAGAACAGCTTGTCAAATCATAAAAACATCTTTGTCATTTTTGATTAGTTTATGACAGTTCCGGCATGCCAAATCCTTGTCAATATTAATTTTTTGAAACCTGGAAAAGCTCAATAACCAACATATACATATATTTTTACATGCAATAACTGGCTGCGATATTACATTAACATTTTTTAAAAAGGGTTAAACAACAGTATTTAAGCTATTTGAAAAATATGATTTAATTAATTGCGCCATAGTATTTCAAAAAATCAACTTTTCTCTACAAGATATCATCAATAACAGAATTTGTTTTTTTCTTGCTCTATGGAGCTTCAAACTAAACTAATTTTTTAGACAAGTATAGATATTCAAGTTTCGAAATCGAAAAAGATATAATTGTAGAAGTACATTTGAAGATTGTAAGAATAACATCTTCCCTAAAACCAACTGCGTATGTCAAATAAGATATTTTCAACTTTTTTTTCATCTTTAAATATTTTTAACTTTTAGAAGGTAATAACTCAGGAATAGTAGTTCTTAGAAAATAATTATATTAAAAATTTTGTAGATAATTTCATGTTCTATCTATATAGATCTGTTTGATCTATATTTATGATAAAACTCACTGATTACAGGAAAAGCTTTTTTTTTTTTTTTTTTTTTACTTATTTCCTTGAATAGCTTTTTTAAAGATATGGAATTAGGACTTTTGAGATTTAATTTTTAATTACGTCCCAAAAGGTCTGTACCAACTTCCAGCTTTATGGGAATCGTTATAAATTGATATGTCTATTTTGACCGGAGTACAACATTTTTACAACCATTGGAAACCAGATATTACACAAAGCTCTCGCCAAATTTTAAAAGTGTTTTTAATTTTTTAATCTTTAATTTTGAGACATGATTTACTGAAATATCTGCTTCTCAATTAAACAACTACTCACTAGTAAAGAAAAGTTAAATAGGTCACGGTGGAGGTGTTGCTATCTACATCAAGCGTGATTTAGTCGTGAATGAGGTATCTGATTGTCATTTAAGAGAAATCTTAAAGAATAGCAACTCCGAGCAAATATGGTGTGAAATTAAAATGGGTAACAAAATTGTTCTAGATCACCCTTATCGCATATAAATGATATAAAATAATTATTTTGGCTAAGCAAGCTGTTGATAGAAAAACGTATAGTTTTATGTTACCATCAGGTGATTTCAACTTTCCGGATATCAAATGGCACGATGATGACAGGATCGAATTACTAGGCGGTCAAACAGAAAAGATGATTTTAATAAAGGTGACTATATAAATTTTGGTAAAAAGATTATGGAAACTAACTGGAAGCAGTTATTTGAAAATAAAAACACTAATGAGTGCTTTGAACTTTTCTGTAATAAATATGATAAACTCAGCAAACAATTCATTCCGTTAAAAAAAGTCCATACCACTCGTAATGCACTTGTTATGAATAAGGAAGTACTAGCGATGATAAAACAGAAAAAACAAAAACAACAAAAAAACAACAATTACTTATCTGCGATTAATTGGCGATCAGCGACACTGATTCGTGAATATAGGAAACTAAGAAGCCAAGTACAGAAATCATGTAAATGTTGTGTTCGCATATTTGAAGCACAACTAGTACCAGATAAAAATAATCCTAAAAAGGTGTACGCTTATGCTAAGGCGTAGCAGAATGTTCATTTAAATAATTATCACAAACAGACTTAACGAACACTTCAAATCAGTTTTCATTGATGATAGTAAAAGTAGTCATTTCAACAACCCATAGGAAGATGATTTTGATAAGTTTGTTTATTATTTTATGAGGTATCAACTGTTCTATAATATAAATTGCTGAGATATATTACTATATAAATGTGTAACTTAACCAGAAAATAATCAATGGTGTTTACGCACATTTTTAATGTTACTTTAGGATGGGTGGGGGAAGGGGTACAAAAACTGAGATCATATGTAAGGGAAAGTGGAGGGGAAGGGGGTTGGCCAAAAATTGACAGATTTAGATAAAAGGGGGGAGGAAGTCGAAATATTGAGAAAAATTACTGACATCATTTATGGACAGCCCCATTTTGGCTTCAAGATTTTTTTGTTTTATCTAAATTTTTTCTAGAAATGAAGGCTTTTTTTTTATTAAAATATTCTTTTCAACTGATGTTACCCTCGGCAATAACCCTGACCTAGGTAGTGTGCAATTTAATCTTAATCGTGTGCAAGTTAATTCCGCACGCTGCTCACAAAGTGCACCCGTTCTCCGCCAACTCATCATCTATGCACCATCTTATTTTGTTCGATAACGTGCATTAATTTAAATTGGTCAAAGTAGATGTTAAATATTAAACATAATTAACAAATAATTTTTGTTGTTTTTTTGTTGAAACATTTTATATGTTATGATTCCACATTTTAAAGTCAAAAAAATGTACTTTTATTAAAAAACACTGTGATTTATAGTGTTTTCGTAAATACACCTGATTTGTTTATTTGAAAAGTTATCTTTTTGAAACTGAATATTATCTTATACATATACACGTTCATTAGCAACTTAAACAATTGTTTAGTAACATTACTATGTTACTAAACAATTTACAACAAAAACAAAATAATTTGTCAGATTTAGGTGAGTAAACAACCCAAGTTCTTTTGATTAATTTGCTATTTTTATCGACCAAAAAGTACATTGTTAAATGATCAGTTTTCATCATCTTTTGGGGTAAGCAGTAAGAAAAAATTTCGTAGGTCCTTGATTCTAGTTCAGTGAAAACTGAAACTAATAACTGGAGACAAATGATGCTAACTTTAAAAAAACATGAAAGCAGTGCAGAGCACTATGATTTATTTGGAAAATTTAAAGAAAAGACTTTGTGCATTTAAAACTATTGATTATCTTACTGAAATAATGTACCTTACTGAAGTACAACATTGAGACTTTTTTATTAAGAGAGTTATTATTATAATTTGAACAATGGTTTCTGTAAATATGGCATTCCATGGATCATCAGACTAGGTATTTTTAATAAAATAATGGAAAGTTCATAAA